GCTGCTTTCCCTTTCTTGATTTGTCTGATGGCCATTCTGATTTCCTCCGTCGTTGGTGAATTGACATCTATAAGAAGATCTGTGAGTACTGCTTCGATGTCCGGTAGATTCGTTGGAGCCGGCCTATTCAGGAGTTCCTCGAAGTATTTTACCCACCTGTTCCACTGTTGTTGAATTTCAGTGGTTGGTCTGTCTTCTTTGTCTTTGACCGGTCTCTCTGATTTACTATATATTCCCTGCTCGTTTCTTCGTTGTATCCAAAAGCTCTTTCATATTTCCTTGTCTAGCAGCTTTTTCCGCCGTCTTTGCTAGTTCTTCCACGTATTTCTTCTTGTCAGCTCTAATGCTCCTCTTCACTTGCTTGTTTGCTTCTGTGTATTCAGCCTGTGCTTGAACTTTCTCTGCTCGTGTTCGGCTGTTGTTCATTGCTGCCTCCTTGGTCTTCCTTTCTTTGATCCTATCCAGTGTTTCTATGAAGATTCACTCCTTATGATGGTGTTTCTTTAGGCCCAGAACCTATTGACACGTTGAAGTTAATGCTTCTTTGATACTTTTCCAGTTATCCTCCATAGTCGTTTCTCCTTTCAGTAGATCTTATAAGGCTTGGAACCTGTTGTTGAAAGCTATCTTGAATTCATTGAGTCTGTCAGTATCTCGAAGGAAGGCTGTATTGAACCATTGTATTGCTGTTTGTCCAGTTGTCCAGTTCTTCTTTAGTTTCAGTTTTGAATTGGCCACAACTAGGTGGTGAGCTGAAGCTATGTCAGCTCCTCTCCTGGTTCTCACATCTTCCATTGTCCTTCGGAATTTTTTATTGATGCAGATATGATCTATTTGGTTCTCTGTAGTGTGGTTCGGTGAGATCCATGTAGCTTTGTTTATAAGCTTGTGTGAAAATATTGTGCCCGCTATGACCAATTTGTTGAATGCACATAGATTTGCAAGTCTTTCTCCACTTTTGTTTCTCTGCCCAAGTCCATGTCGTCCCATAATATCTTCATATCCAGTGTTGTCTATTCCGACTTTGGCATTTAGATCTCCCATCAGAATGGTGAGGTCCTTTCTTAGGCATTTCTCTATGATTGATTGCAGTCTACCGTAGAATTGATCTTTAATGTCGTCTTTGCTATCATTGGTGGGTGCATAACATTGGATAATATTCATAGTGATCCTCTCCTTCTTTGTTTTGAATGATGCTTTGATGATTCTGGATCCGTGAGATTCTCATCCTACAAGTGCATTTCATGCTACTTCGGACAGCATTAGAGCGACTCCCTGAGTGTGTTGAGCATTTTCCTTTTCGTGACCGGATTATAGCAGCACCTCTTTCGTAGCTAGCCTTTTCTGTCCAGCTTTGGTCAAGTGGGTTTTACTGATTCGCAGTACTCCCAAGTTGCATCTCCTCATTTCCGTTGCTATTTGACTGGTCTTCTCGGTCTCCCACATTGTTCGGACGTTCCATGTACCTATAAAAATTGTTGCTCTGGTTGTTAGAAGGGGCGTCAGCCCCGTGACTTCCGAAGGAACTCGGCTTTCGCCATGAAGCGTCAGAATTCTTCTGACTGAAGACCTTCTAACTCCTAGGGCAGAATGAAAATGGTTTGAATTATTTTTTCTGGTAAGCGTTTTTTTAGCGAGTTAGTTTTCTACGGGATGGGGACGCTAACCCCATGTCCAACCCCCCTCTTTTACTCGGGCTTAGGACTGGCAGTAACTCTAGAAGTGCTACAGGCGATGTTATTTGATCGAATACGGTCTTATTTTTCCTGAACCATGTAATATTTCGTCTGTTGATAGAATATTTTATTGTTTAAAAAATGCCTAAGGAACAACGGCTTTCGAACGAAAGTTACTAAGAAATATGGAAAAAGTAAAGACAAAAGCTCTAAAGAAACCACAGAAGATAAAAAATCCATTTTCATTCATCCTAGATTCAAAGGTTTTGATGTTGAAGCGATGATAAACAGAAGATTTAAAACCACAATAACCAGGACGTATCGTGTAGCCAGGCTGATTATCGTGGATAAAAGAATAAGATTTTTTACTCCAATCAAAAAACTGAGAAATACCTCTTTTCATTTTACCATCAACCGCACTTACATTTGTCTACCAAACCAGTTACATTGCTAGAACCGAAAGAACAGCTTACGTGTGATACCTGGAACATTTCCAAACAAGAATCAGGTCAATAGGGTTGAATGCTTTAAACTGTGCTATTGAAAAAAGTCCCTCAACGCAGAGTATTAAGTTTATACACTTACACTTTTGATACCATCAATCGATAGTCAAGTTCACCGAAGCTATAATCATCAACCTCCTTTGACCTGACTTTTGTATCCAAAAAGAAACAGTTACAAATCATTCTTCAACGGATTGTATTTATTGACATTTTATTGAATCATTTTTGAAATTTCTTCCCTGTTATTCCGTTGTGTCCCTGGATGTAAATTCATAATTTCACTTTCAACTTACTGCTTGTGGCATTCTTACTAAATGATGAATCATTTGTACTTGATTATACGCTTATTATGAATTCTAAATATAAAACGTCCAGTTGTGCTCATCTAGTTCTACCCATGGCAATAACTTCACTTTTCTCAAAACGATGGAAAGATTATTACTACTTTTACTTCACCAGCACTAAAAAACAAATTGATTTAAGCCAGCTTGATTACAAACGCCTCACCGTTGGTACTACCTTGATGTGTTGGTCGGGCTTGACTACCATGATGAACAATCTTCCTTCAAGTCCCACCATGCCAAACAGGTCGGCTGAAGAACGGTAAGACTAAAAGCAGCAAACCCAAGGTCCAAAGGTGAAGTCGTACTGCTAGTTGTACAGATGTGTGATCACAGTAGGGTGTTTCCTTCAGACAATCAGTATAACAGCGGTGCTGCCTTCCCACAATGGGGAGGGGTAGAAAAAATCTATAATAGAACCGCATACCTCGCCTTATTCCACGGATATCCGTCTCCGGAGGTTAGGCTTCAACTTACTCACTTACTTACGCCTGTTGTCCCTCATGGGTGAGCATAGGCCACCCACCAGCGTAACACGTACGGGGTTAACACAAAAATTACCCAGAAAAGGTCGTGCGTGACCGACCTCAAGCAGTTGTCCCTTGGACATCGCGATCACGCTCTCAGGTCACTAAGACCACCTTTAATCCAATTTCCTTGTCAGGCACCTCCAGAAGAACCGTTCCACAGTGTGGGCAATCGGGAAGTGATAAACGCTCTCATACCTCTAACAGCACTCAATACCACTGTATTCATAATCAATCTCCCTCTTCAATTCCTATTATTCCTCCCACCTTGACCTTCAACTTTAAACTTCCTCATTAAATGTTACCAGGACCAACGATTTTAGTGCACGAAAAGACGTCCCATGACTACTGAAACCTCGCTCTAAACTACACAACAAATCAGAGCTAGGTTAAGCAAAAGTCTAAGGATCTACTGTGAGCAGTGGTGGGCAACGAAAGCAACAGAGATGTAAACGGCGGTGGCTATAGGTAACACAAGATAGCTCTCCAGACTCATAAAAGCAACTGGGACTAAATATTCATGTGTAAGTGCGAGTGTAACGACCGAACTGTCCGTATTCGGTCTGAACGTAGGACTGACGGACCAAGATTTATTCGAATAGGCCAGACCACCTTCTTCTGTATAGCGTACGAAGCGTTTTTGAGTTACTCGTATTAAATTATATCAAAACACATACTTTGTGCTCAATTTAAACGGTTCTTATTTAGGAAATAGAACAAATTATATCAAAAATACAAAAAAACTCAAGCAGTACTGCTTGTGCTATACAGCCAAAAGTTTCTCTAACGCAAAGGTTAAAATACACGACAGGGAGAAGAAATAAATAAATGACAGTACTGTCCAACAAAGAAGCTGCGGAGGGATTTTCATCGTTCTCTTTCCGTTACAGAGAGGATCTCGGAAAAAGACAACACTCATATCTGCTCACAACCCAGACGTTCAGAATGATGTGCGGAACACTTTAGAAGACAATTCAGCTGGCCTTCAGCCACTCTACAACTACCCTCTATTCCCAGATAGTGTGAATAGAACATTGAAGTAGGTCCCCCAACTCTAGTTGAAATTCAAATGGCTTTAACTAATCTGAAAGGAAGAAGAGCAGCTGGCTTAGATGGGGTGGCTCCATATGTCTTTAAGTATGGTGATCTAGGTTTAGCGATTAGGTTGACTAATATTTTAGCTAAAATCTGGGAGTTGGAGGTTATCCCATCTAACTGGTCGCAATTATTGATTGTCCCGATATATGAGAAGGGGTCAAAATTATTCTGTGACAATCATAGAGGGACTAGTTTGACTAATATAGTATCTAAAATACTAACCTCAATAATTATCGGGAACCTAAAAAAGACTCGTGAACTGCAAACAGAGAAAATCAGGTTGGTTTCAGACATGATCGTGGCTGTGAACAGATAATCTTACATGTACTAGAAAAGTGGTTGGTCAGAGGTTGTTGAGAAAACAAATCAGGGATCAAAACACATGTTATATCACTGAACTCCACTGAAGATATTGACAAGAAGGTAAGCCATATTTGTGAGACAAATAAACAATACCTTGAAATAATAGATTCCTGTCGCTAGCCCTAAGAACAAGATGACTAACCGAAAGGTGGATGAGAAAGCTGCGGGTAACCTGCGGCAGCATAGTTCTCACTGGCTACCAGATTCACTTCATCAGCAGATCGAACAATTGATAGTAACTCACTGACCAGTTCAAATAACAAAAATGTCATCAAAGACCGACTACAAAGTTTAGGAAGATAGAGTATTTAACGAAAATCATATTCTTATTTATATGGTTATGTTATGCCATGTATTTGACCTGAATTAGTTTTGTACAATTACCGAATCGGTCTATAACGTTGTGCAAATCCAAGAACTAAATAAGACACCATATTTAACCCGGATTCTCTTGGATTTACGACGTGTCGGACGATTCTACTTTAAGTCACCATCGGCGCGCAATCGTGAGTCGATACGGAAGTCCGTCAAGCGAACATTTATTCTAGTCCGTCAAGCGAACATTTATTCTAGTCCGTCCAAACCTAATTCAATTTGTTTAAATACCTCAAGTCTATGACTAAGACCTGGACCCAATTTGTATGCTGTCGCTATGTCAGATGTTTTCTTGTACATTTATGATCTTTCAGGTGGCCTAGCTAGTGTTTTTAGTCCTGGTCTATTGGGTATGTTAGATGGTTTCTTAATACTACTCCGAATTAAGGCAAGAAAATTGATGGAATATGGCATACTGCTTCCGTTTTATATGATAAGGAATTTTTCTTTGGACAATCAGGAATTCAGTATTGTGAGCCAGTGAGTTTTAACCTAGAACGTGTTTATGTTCATTCAGTAAATTTAACAAGCTCTTCAAAGAAATAGCATTATATGCATTATATAAGCATTATATAGCATTGTATGCACACAATGCTATATAATGAATAGTGAACGCATGCGTTCACTATTCATATCTGGAATCTGTCTAACAATTGACATCCTTATACAATGCATGTAAGGGACTAGAGTAATCAAGAGACGGGTTTTAATCGACGCTTATCCACCGAAAAATACATTCAGTCTCATTATTTCGCGAGGTAGTTTTATCCTACTAGAATAACTACCTTTAAACAGTTAATTTGTCATCCAATCATAACTAAAAGTACTTTAAATGGGTTGTTTGTATTTGCCTTATTTATTTCCTGATTTTCAATATAATTGATGTGTAATGATTTTCCGTCCTCCAGTGTTCTGGTGTTTCGCTTCTGCTGGTTATATGCATCCTTGCTCTTGTAGTATAGTGAATTAATCCACAAAATTTCGTGTCTAATTTCCATTATTGATACTTTGCTCGTCCAACATCCTTTTTGGCCTTAATGGTTAGGATATATATATATATATATATATATATATATATATATATATATATATATATATATATATATATGCTCATCTTTTAGTTTTCCAATACTCATGTGAAGTTGGTATTATGTACTGAAAATTTACTGACCATTCATGTGTGTACTGTATAAAAGGCTGTTAAGTTAGGAATGATTTTTTAAAAATTCGAATCCAAAAACATGTGTTCAGTATATTATTAAACTGCGTCCTGTGCATCTACTTGAACCTTACAAAAACTAATAACAGGGCGTTTTTCCTTCTAAGATGTGATTTCTAATCGCTTCCAGCGAATCAAAAAATGCCATCTCCGAACCCGCTACTGTGTAATGTTATTTCCAATAAAATTGTGCTTGCCTCTTTGACGTATCTAATCAAAAATGTTATTCACCACATGTTGGCTTTTTCTGATGTTTCGTATGGAGTGACTTTTATTCAATTTTGCATTTCCAGTCTTGAGGTTTTAGGGATCTTGTATATAAGACAGTTATTTTAGTGTTAGTTGTTTGTCCGGAGAAGTTGCTGAGGTACTGAAAAATATGTAAAATCCTTTAGAATATTTTTTCTACCTAGGAGTCAGTGGTTCAGGTGTTTGACTTCCAATCACTAAGTGTCGGGTTGGAGCCCTGCTTCACCTTTATCTTCAAAATCTCGTTTTTTATTTTTTTGTATTCTCTCCACTCAAGTTCATGTTCATCTTGATCTTTTTTCCATCAACTCTGTTTTTGTATCGTTCCAAAGGATGAGAGGCTGGAATGATACACCTTAAAACTTTACATTGATATATTTCTCTTGCACGTATATTTGTCCATTATGAGATATTGTTTGGCGTTCACTTGTATAAAAACAAGTAATTTGTTTCAGGTAACATTCAGTAATAAATTTGACCAACGGTAAAACCCCTGAACATCTCATCCGTCGGTATACAACCTTAGAACTGTCAAACTTTCATATTACGCTGACCACATCCTAGCGAAACACCAATCATTTTTGAGAGGAACGTGTGATGACTCCCTAACATCTTATTCCGTCAACTCACTTGTTATTACTGCCGTGATCAGGTGTAACTGATTCTGTTGCCTATAGCACCAACCGTTATTCCTAAACGCAAGTCCACGTAGTTCAAGTTGCATCTCTTTAATAGACAACCAGTTTAAACCTATTGTGTTCATCGAACGTTCCATCAATTCAGAAAACAAAAATTGCAATCCATCGGCAACTTATTTGGCACAATTTTATTGGGTTCTATTCCGAATGTAGTCTTCCGGAGTGTAGATCGCGTGTTGTAAATAAGCCGGTATTGAGTATCGTAAGTGAACTCAAATTTAGTATTAACAAATACATCAAGAGTGTAAGTTGATACAAAAACGAGATCTCAACCTAAAGATTGACGGTTAAATCAGTGAGTAAACGTCTCAATCAACTGTATTTGTGTATCCATGCCTGTTGTCACAGCAATAAATTTAGCTGGTTTGTGTTTTTTTCACTCTGCTTATGCACGTCCATCAGTGGGGGTGAATCAAGTTAGTTGTAAACAAAAATAATTTTAACTAAAAACGCAATCTCCAGAACTGGTTGGAAAAAACTAAATCCTCAATAATTTTATAAAATTTGAGTGGTAAACTTTGAGGATTTCGAAAAACCATTCATCAACACTGATTAGTTGGAATGGGACCGATCATCATGTTCAGATCATTTTTGGTTTTAACTTATAGAAATAGTTCATTTTAAGTTGAACCTACTAACGTATATTTATACTCGCGTAATTCACTTTGAATATGTTTTCCCGATAACCACACCATCGCCTTTTTCTGTCACTTCACTTTTCTCAATTTTTCTCCAAGTGCTCAACCTCTTTAGGAAATCCATTAAAAAAGCAATTCATGGGGAAGACACCATTGTCAGAATCTGAAATTTTCAATTATTTAGAGCGACTATCCAATACATTGTTTAAGTAAGTCACGTGGTCAATTATGAAAACATTTGTAATTTGATTCCCATTTATATTATTCACCAGTATCCTTCATAACTTTGCCTGTAGCTCTTCTAGGGCTACTGGCGGTCTTAATCCCACATAAAGGAGAAAGGTTGGGTATGGGGTCGGCAACCCCATTTCGTAGAAAACAACCTTGCGAAAAAACACTAACCAGAATAAACCATTTAAACTCTGTCCTGGGGGTTGAAGGAAGAATTATGACGCCTCATAACAAGATCCGAGATTCTTCGGAAGTCACGAGGCTGATGCCCCCTCTAACAACCAGAGCAGCAAGTTTTATAGGTGCATGGAACGTCTCGACAATGTGGGAGACCGGGAGGACCAGTCAAATAGCTGAGGAAATGAGAAGATACAACTTGGTGGTTCTTGTTAGGAAAACCAATTGGAACCAAGCTGGATAGAGAAAAATTAGGTTCAGGTGAGGTGCTGTTGTATTTTGGCCATTAAGAAAAAATCGCTTCGATCACAAAAAGTCTCACTAGTGCTGTCTTAAGAAGCACATAATGCACTTATAGGATGGGAATCTCATCGATCCAGAATCACCGAAGCATCCTTCAAAACAAAGGAGGGGAGAATTACAATGAATATTATCCAATGTTATTCACCCACCAATGGTAGCAATAAAGACGATGAAGGTCAGCTATACGAGAATCTGCAATGGATCATAGCGAAATGTCTAAAAATGGACCTGACAATCCTGATGGGATAGTTAAACTCCAAAGTCGGAACCAACAACAACCTTTATGAAGATATCATGGAACGACATAGACTAGGAGAGAGAAACGAGAATGGGTAGAGATTTGCAAATCTATGTGCATTCAAAAAACTGGTTATAGGCGGTACAATATTCCCACATAAAGCTACATGGATCTCACTGAACCACACCACGAAGAATCAAATAGATCGAATTTGCACAGGTAAAAAATTCGCAAAATCAATGGAAGACGTGAGAATCAGGAGAGGAGCTGACATATTTTCTGATCACCACCAGCTGATTTTGGCCAAGATGAAACTGAAACTAAAGAAGCATTGGACAACTGGACAAACAGGATCACAAAGGTTCAATATGGCTTTCATTAGGTATACTGGTAAACTCAACGAATTCAAGATAACTCTCGACAACAGGTTCCAAGCCTTACAGGATCTACTCAGTAAGGGGAAACTACTGTGGACGACAACTGGAAAGGTATCAAAGAAGCACCAACTTCGACATGTCAGGAGGTTCTGGGTTGCAATAAGCATCATCATAATCAATGGATATCTGTCGGAACCCTGGACAAGATTGAAGAAAAGAAGAACAAGAAGACAGCAATTAACAGCAGCCGAACAAGAGCAGAGGAAGTTGAGGCACGAGTTGAATACACAGAAGCAAACAAGAGAGTGAAGAAGAGCATTAAAGCCGACAAGCAGAAATATGTGGAAGAGCTAGCAACGACAGTTTAAAAATCTGCAAGAGGATGCAAGAGAAGCAACTATATGACACGACGAAGTAATTGACAGGGAAATACAGTAGATCAGAGATACCGATCAAGGACAAAGAATGTAAGCCAATCACTGAAATTCGAGGACAGAGGAACATCTGGGTGGAACAGTGTGAGGAACTCTTGAATTGACCAGCTCAATTGAATCCACGAGATGTCGAAGCAGCACACCTAGAGGTTGCTATAGGTCTCACTCCACCAACGACGGAAGAAGTCAAGATGGCCATCAGACAAATCAAGAGTGGGGAAGCAGAACTTGACAATATATCAATCGATGCACTGAAGGAAAGTTTTTCAACAGTGTTGCTGAACTGGATGAAAGACTCAGTAAACACTCAACTTCGAGATCAGCAATCTGGATTCCGTAAGTATCAGTCGTGCACAAACCAAATCGCGACACTACGGGTCATCTTTGAACAATTAATTGAATGAACCTCGTCACTATACATCAAGTTGATTGACTATGAGAAAGCATTTGACAGTGTGGATAGGAAACATTGTGGTAACTTCTTTGACACTATAAAGTACTTGAGAAAATCGTCAACATCATACAGAATTCATACGACGGACTATACTGCAAAGTGGTGCATGAAGGACAGCTTACAGACACATTCCAAGTAAGAACCGAAGTCACACCAGGCTGATTACCTGTCCTTTGCCTTTCTTCTAGTGGTTGACTGGATTATGAAAACCTCGACATCTGAGAGGAAGCACAGAATAAAATGAACATGTTGGATGCAACTAGACGATTTGGATTTTTCAGGACAGAGTTGGATGGAGAATGCTGATGAGTGGCCCATGCTTCTCCACGAGGGTTAACAGGTGTAAGTAATCTTGCATAGTTTTTGGGTAAACAAAGTAGGGCAGCTCTAACTGAATGTCAACTAATTTTGAAAACAATAATAACAAATAAGGTGACTCGTATTCACTTACCACGAAAAACACAAACTATTCATTCAAAACAATCGTTAAGAAATCTGATTTGCAGCTACTGTATCTGCTTCTGTTTGAGCAACCAGGTATTACTAGCCGTCATATTTACAGTATACGAATTTGTGCCTTGTAAACATGCATCCATTTTGATTTCGTAGAATACTTTGTTGTGGAAATTCTTTAGGATTGACAGTGATGATGATGTGTTAGCTGTAGGGGCAGATTGGTCTATTACGAAACTTTACTATTCTTTAGTCAATCAGTTTGTATATCTGTAATGAACATATTATTATTATCATTATTGTAAGCTGCCATTTGGCTCATTAATCATTGTTATGTTATTCACTGGTCAGAATTGTAGTCAACTTGATAATAAAACAAACTGTTTTAGTTACGTATATATTGGTACTTATGTTCACCCATATTTAATGTCAAGCCTGACACAAATGTGGGCTAGTCCAAGTTGCCAAATCACATTAACGTGATGAGATGAATAGTAAAATAGTCTGAATCGTACAGTAGCATTTTGAATGCGAAAGACTAAGTCCTTTGAATATGATTTGAAATGACGGAGCTCAAAGGCATTTATGGAGGATTACCGAAACTCCAAACGTCGGGTAAGATAAAGAGTGAATAAATCTACATCATTTTGATCAATCGCTATCAGGATCGATGGCTTGGTGTTTAGATCATTCATAAAAGTATAAAATTCTCTTCGCTTACTTTGGTTAGGATAACTGAGAGGGTGGGGGAAGCATCACTGATCCTCCCCATACAGTAAATTACGGTCAAAAACAGTATACATAAACTTTTATTTGGTAAGTACTTTAGCTATTTTGTACTCGATGAATCAACCCATCAGATAACACCATTTTATCAAGGATTTCGGTTAGTCTCAACCACCTCAGTTGATGTCATCTTTGTCAAGTTCCCTGTTGCTAACCACAGTGCTGCCTACGCGGTCGTTACACTGTGCGCTAGAAATGCTTCGAAGAGACCTATGATCAGGAACTATCATCTTATGTATGTCTTCTAGATTCACACATATTTTGCAGCTACGGAGTAGGTGTTATTACCGAGATTTAACTTGGTAATTTAAAATGAATTGAGCAATACGTAGATACTTATTAAAAAAACAGGTCCTGCGAAGTCATTGTTATGTCATTTCGGTCGGGGTGATTTATGTGAGACATTTTTGTGCAGTTGTATGTATATATGTTCAAGGATGAAAAAATGTGACATTTGTGATGCGAATGGGTAGTTTTGAATTTGTATGTACGATAATGGTGTGAGATGTGAATAGAATCAGATATGGTGGCCCGGTCAGATGGATGGTGAGGCCTTCTTTTCATTTGAAAGCTGTAGGATTAAGCAATATATGGAAAGCTTCAGCTACTCAACTTTCTTTGTAGTTGGAAAGGTTTCTTTGCATTATTTTGATGCTCTTAATATCGGCTTGATGGTTATTGACAATGTCATGGACTACTATTGTCGAGATAATTTCAAATATTTCCAGTTCTATGGGATTATTAGGTGATTTTTCTGTGTAACTAAGCTGTTCTTTAGCTCGAGTCAAAATTTCACAAGATGATTCTCCAATATAGAAGGCATTGCAAACGACACATCCTGATTTGTAGACAATTCTGTGTTGATATAAAGGGAATTATTTCCTTTATGCGGACTAATACATTTAGAACGGTGTTCGTTGTTTTATAATATATTTTAATTTGGTTTTATTTTAAGGCTCTTTGAAATTTTGTTGTACTATGGCGGTGCGGTAAAACTACAGTACCAATCCATTGTATTTTATTCGGATTATTACTAAGCAGTAAAAGGTCTCGTTTTATTGCACTTTTAATAATCGTCATAGCAACATTACTAAATCGTAAGATGCCAATTATATGCTTTCGTAGTTTCTTTCCATCCTCTTCAAATATAATAGTCTTGTTTGCTTTTCTAAAGAGATTTAGGGCTAGAGAGATTTTCGCACCGAATGGATGTGTTAAATTGAAGTCGATATAACGATTTAAGCGCGCTGGATTTCGGTAGATAGATAGATTTAAAGCTCCACTTTGATTCCTCTTAACTAAGCAATTTAAAAATGATAGCTCACCGTGTTCATTTTGATTCTCGTTCGTACAGAAAGAAAGAATTAGTTCGCAAAAAGAAAAGCAAAGAGTAATTTTAATCTCACGGTTTTAAGGGAAAACAAAGAGTGTACACACCTATGCCATTGTGACCGATTCTGAGCCATGTCACCCAGTCTCCAACCACTGGTTACGGTAGTCGCGTGGACCCCAACCAAGTAATCTGCATCTATCAACATGGCTCAGACCAGAAGTTAGTGGCTTTATGGATTGATGTTACGTTTTGATTTGGCCGCCCCTAACATTCTCCCTACCGTCTCCAACACTAGTCAGCATCACAAGCCGTGGTAATCGGTGGTCGGGAATGGGTAATACGTGGCCCAATCATCTTAGTTGATGAAGATTTACAATCTCACCAACTGATTTGCCACCATTATCCAATACCCTGCGTCTAACCCCATTATTACTTATCCGGTGATCCCAACAGATACTGGCAATATTTCTAAGACATCTGTGATCAAATACTAGTAACTCATGATTATCATCTACCGTTACTGATCATGTTTCGCAACTGTGAAGTAATAGAGTAATATGGGGTGGGCTGAAATCTGGGAAAGTTGAAATTACCATGATCTATCAGTCGTGTGAAACAAATACAGTAACGGAGTGAACAAACTTGTTTTATTCATACGACAAACAAAAATATTGAACTAATCGGGTTATTCGTAATATTATCACATGGGATTGTAGTGATTGTTGAATTTGAAGCTTCTCATCACTTACTAACTTCGGTTAGACCTTCTCCAAAAACCAGGAAGCGTTGGACAGCTGTTTCGTCACAGTGTCGGTGCTAAGGCGACCACAGGTGGTCTATCTCCTGCCATTAAATGTTAGTTCATTCTCTAAAGGATAGTCTCGACAATATTTTGGCATTCATATTTTCGCATGAACCTCTTCTGTTAAATAATTGTTTTTTCGTCTAGTTTGCTCATTTTCCTATATCCTAAAGTCGTATTTTGTTGTTATTCATACAGAGTTGTCCCACTTCGAATTTTACCTTCGGAATATCAAGCTTATCTTGTTCTTCTGTCCTCTCTGCACTCCCTTGCTATGGCGATTATTGTTGGTGTTATTTATCAATAGCCGCAATTAGTTACTGTAGGACTAATCGTAAATTATAACAGAGGGACTCCTCCACAATATTCGTCCATGAATCAACCAGAGGTCGAATCCAGGACCTTCAAACATTAAATGGGGGTGGGGGGGGGGCGTTTAAACTTTTGAGTACTGAATAGATATCCAATGGTTTACATTTCTGGCTTCAGTTCATGTTATTAAAATATGTGTTGTATCAATGAATTCATCTTGAATTTTCAAAAAGATATGATTATTATTGCTTCATCTGTTTTTTTAGACCAGGCGATTATTCGCTTTTTGAACATAATTGTAACACTTTCAGTGAACACTTTATATTTCACTTGACTGGACAGCATATCCCATCGTATATATTGAACTTACCTAATGAAGTTTTGTCTACATCATTTGGAGCTTCATTAGGTTCAGCTTTGAATGTTCTGTCGGTTGGAATCAATTCCAAAACACGTTTGAATAGTATTAAAGAAACTCCATGTATGTATTGTATTTCATTATTATGATAACTGAAATTTAAAAAAATATTATTTATAGCTAATAACGATAAACATACATACGCTGATATTATTAAATCTTTTCGACCAATATTTTTTGATGTAAGTGTTTTGTGGTTGATTTGTTTGAGCTTTTTTGAGTATTTTATTCATTTAATTGTCTACACTAAAATATCTCATATAGTTGATTACTATCAATATACTGGCTCGATTGTCATGTACGCGTTTGTGCAGTTGGTTTCAAACCGTATTCTAAGTGCGAAAGATGAAGTTATTTTCTAGTTAACTTAATCAAAGTAGGTAGGTTGAATGGGATTTGAACCTGAAACTTAATAATTTAAAGTTGAATAGTGTAATCATTGAGCCACCGCTTCACTTGTAGTAAACTAGCGAAGCTCATGAATGAGACTGTTTTAAGGTTTATTTTCAAAGTTGATTATAAATCTCACTTATCAACTTGAAACTTTATACACAGCCTTGATGTATATTGTTTGTATATGCGTGTGGGCGGTTGTGATACTGCTTTATTGCTGAAGAGGAAGTAGGCAGTGGTGAGAGTTTGAACCTGGGATTTGTGAGTTGAAAGTCGGGTGCGAAGTTGTACCGCTAGCTGTATTGGAGCATGATGTCAGTAAGGTATTCCTCTCAGGAAACCAGGATTCCCATTGTTATTACTCTCTCATGACGGAAGGAGAGAGTTAGGTAAAGTCGACTAGAAATTGCACACGGCTTTCTGTCGCTGGAGGTACGGGCATTCAAATACTTTACCTTTAGGTAGGCCACCATCTTCAATAGAATTAATCATGGTTAAAAATCGATGAACCAACGGTTTACTTAGGCTTAGTTGGTAATCAATATATCATACAGTTTATTATTGTATGGAAAGTGAATGCAAGTTTGTTTTACTATTTTCACTGACGTTCAAAGGAATGTGAATAATGAGCGTTAGCTCACGAGACCAAAGGTCATGGGCTTCATTCTCTGTGGCAGGGTCGTGGAAGCTCACCTCTGGGTACCATGCTAGGATGAAACAACTGTCCAGTGCTTCTTAGTTTTCAATAGTGGTCTAACTAAGAAATTAGAAATCTTTAGTCCGTAGACTTCATGCAAAGACCACGTTCACATTTTATATACTGCTAAATACTATTGGTATATATTTTTAATTTCAATCAAATTTAATCAGACTTGATAAACAACAAACGAACGGAACAACAGTATCACATAGGAAGTTTCAACACAAGTAGTTTATTGCGTAAAATGATTCCAAGTATCTTGGTTTTCCGCAAAGCATCAGGCCCATAGCTCAGTGCATGGAAGATTTACATGGTTACCAAGGTTTTTTGTATCCTATACCAATTTATCTGCAAACCTCTGGTTTTTATAGATCTAACTATAGACAAGATTTTGATTTCTGGAATGTTTTTAGATGCTATATACTCTCATTGTTGAGTTAATTGGTTAGAAGTAACGGGTTCACATGTAGTCTTAATGTGAGATGTAATTATTCAACAATTTATATATAGTAAATATTTACTCATTATTACATGACAGTGTCTCGAAGTTGAAAATCAGATGCAGTAATAATTAATTAAATGAACAAAGTCATCCATGAGTTATTGATTTTTCAATGAGACTAAAAATCAATTGGAGAAATATCTAGTTATTTATCAGCATTATATATAAACTGTTTCATGACATTTGGTTACCCTTTGATACAGTAGTTTATATCTCGGTACTAAGTTTTCAAAAACCTTGAATATCTATACCTAATACTGCCTTCAGTGACATATCACAATACATATCCAATAACAAACGAATAACTTTGAACTAACGAATGCAGTTGATCTTGAGTTCTGATTAACGTAATCAAGTCCCTTAATTCGACCATACGAGAAATTAATTGAAAACCGTAATATTTATTCATTTATTTGCATGTTAGTTTCAACAGTAATTAAGTAGACAATGAATTTTGATTAGCGATAATAATAATAATAACATTGAAAAAATCGTCCCTGTTTATCATATCTGTGTGTATGTATGTATATTTCCTTTTCAGGAACCTTTATCATCAGAACTTCTTCCTCATCGTATATATTTGTTATGGCCAGCCGGGGGAAATTCAAGTTTACCAACTTTGGCTTCAGAGTTATCAAGAGTACTACTTCATGAGAACACGGAAGTAAAATGTGCTGAAGAATGTTCATCTCTACTTGGTGTGTGTTTATTTATATACCTTGTTTCTGCAATGTTATATGTAATTCCTATTTTATGGTGTTTTGTTAGTAAAATGTTTAGATTAGTAGTTAGAGTTGATAATTTTCAGTGTCATGATATGCTATTTGTCCACAGTTTGAAGTAGAGAATCACTTTTCCAAGTCATGAAGGATAGCCAATTTGGGATGTTTTTGATACATATAAATTTTCCAGAACTGATTCTTGTAAATTGAATTGGGACAAACACTCACCTGACTCATTCAGACTTTTTGTAATGCTTTATTCTTAGTGCTAGTTTTTTAAAGTCTGTAATTTTCATAGAGGAAGAATGTATTTGTAAAATCTCAGCGAAAGAATTTGAAGTAAATCCAACGTTTCGTCTGGCAATCTGGTTCAAGCTTTTTCAAAGAAAATATAATCAAACAACAAAATTATCGAATATAAATGGGTACATGGTTCTCTGGTTTACTGTATACTGAATAAGTCATCCAATTAACGTGAACGATGTTTGAAGTAGGTATTTACATTAGTATATAAGAGACATGTGGTGTGAAACGAAAAGTAGTAAGATAACAAATCGTATGTATACGTAAGTGATGTGAAAAGAAATTTCATTCAACTATATATTGTCTTCGGTCTGTGTAGATTAAGAAAACATATCATTTTAAATATGATATGAATCAAAAATGTCACAGCATGCATTAAATGATAAATACACAAGATAAATAAGCAAAATAAAAGACTGAATTCAAAGAGGAATGTATTTGTAATTGAAAGTTTGTGTTATTTTAATGTTCCAGTCAATTGTTTAACATATTCAGATAAGATAACTGATTTGAACCGTTGAACCTTGAAAAATCTTGAACCAGATTGCCAGGCGAAACGTTGGATTTACTTCAAATTCTTTCGCTGAGATTTTACAAATACATTCTTCCTCTTTAAAGTCTCACGTTAACTCGGCGCTCAAATATTATGAAACTATTCGTTCAAATTTAGATGAAAGTTTTTATTTATCTGTAATTTTCATAGTTTTTTAAATTTGAAAAGACTCATCGCACAGCACGGATTCAGAAGGCTTGATCGGGTTTTGTGAACTTACGTTACCTACGGCGTATGCGAGATATTCGTCTTCTAACGAAAGGGTTAGTCTACTGCGCTGCAGTTTGCTTCGTCCTACTTTATGAATGTAAAATGTGGCGATTAAGAGTAGAGAATATACGTAAGTTACTGATGTTTACGAAACATTGTTCGTGTATTTTGAAATCACGGAGTAAGCAATGTCTGGGTTAGGAATAGAGTACTAGGTAAAGATACAAAATCAATCAATGGGGTAGTAAATCTTCATCATCTGAGGTAGTTGTGACATATGTTACGTATACTCAACCACCACCTACCTCTACGGGCGGTAGTATCTGGTGTAGGAGCAGACCGGAAGAAAGCTAGAGGCAGTCAAACCAAGACGTGGCATCAATTCATGAAATCATTGACAATTGGAGTGAGACATGTTAATACGTCTAAACTATCTGGTTGGAGTCCGTGTTATTTTCGTAACTAGTGGTTAGAGACTTTCAATGACATCGCTCAAAATCGTTTGGAATGGCACAAGCACATCCATTCTTTGTCTTCCTCCAAATTCTGTGATCCTGGATTACCCATAACTTTTTTTGCTTTTATTTCATTAATTTATATTTTCTTTTTGAGTCGTATCTTTGGTGGCCAATCTTTCCTACTACCTCAACTATTCTGGAACTTATTCTGATAACTTCATCTTTCTGTACCGATGTACATAAGAACAGGGCACATACTACTTGTGGTATTGGTTCGTTATTTCTGTAATATCACTTAAAAGATATATCACGAAAGCTAACGAATTTGCACTGAAGTTGTGACTCAGATTTCGGGACTTGATTTTCTACTATTCCACTACCGGTTCAAAGTTCATCTAACCTACTACTATTGGTGTAACCTATTTGCGTTGTTAACCAAATATGTCTTCTAGTTTATTGATTGAGCCTACTGGTTATTGGTCAGTTGACTGTGATAGTGATTTATTCGGTAAAGAAAATTGTAGTCATAATTTTTTGCACTGATGTTAAATTGCATGATTAACTTATGCAAACCAGTGGATACTACTTTGCATGGTTGGTGAAATCAAAATAAATGAAATGAGATTTAAATCTGTAATTCATTAGTTAAAGATTGTGTGCTTTAATTGCTAAATCACAATCCCACTACAGAATTTTCAACATTACAAGTTCAAGAAGTTGGGTGACGAGGGTGGAAATTTCACATTGGCCATCATTTCACTAAAGATTACAGGTACATCTTAGTGGTCAGTGCAAACTGGTACAAAACCTTGACCCCGTAGACTATCAACACAAGTTCTTAATAGTCATTGATATATATTGGAATTTAATGTATCAGTTAGAATCCTAATATTGTTTGCTTAAAAAACATCTGTAAAATAATAATCTAGACAAACTAATGATCTGAATGGTTTTTAAATTATCTTACTTTATCCATTGCATATACATTTTGAATCAGTACAATTTTAAAACTTCGCATGAATTTTCATGCGTATTTAAAGTCTACTATTGTCGGTCTGTTGTTCAACACTCGAAATGTTTACTATTTTGTTAAGCAGTTTTTGTAACATTGAATGCTTTTCTAACATACATCACTAGTTCAGATTAAGGAGCGAACTACGGGAGATATTGGTTTTCATCACCTTAAAATATATTTCTAAGAAATTTTATATCATGAGTATTCTCTTGTAATAAACCTAACATAAAACCTATCTACCATGTGCGTATTTGTGTACTACTTGCCTTTGAGCCACGTTCTAACTGTGAAGGCTAGTGATACTATCGTCTTGCCTAGACTGAAGTAAGTGGGGCAGTGTCCGAACCTGTCATTTAGTGGCTGAAAGTTGAGTTTCTTAACTATCGTTTCGCTCTCCTATAATTAGTCACTACATAGTTCTGTGAATCTTTCAACGCAACCCAAAACCTTCCGATCTCTTAGTTGAGACACTGCTAACGAGGATTTTCCAGTTTCATTCTGTGCTATCACCTATCCATTAATATGTAGGCACTATTATTGAATCACTCTTACAAGGAACATATACCTAACTGTATCTGTGTAGCCATTCAATTCAGAGTTAATAATAAATTCTCTTCAATGAAATAAGAGGAATGTGGTTCTCTGTCCATCACTGTCTTCACTTTGTTTACTCATTAGGGATAACCTTACCACTGTTTTTTAACCTTAGGAATTGTTTGCGATATACATTTTTTGATTTATTTCTCCTACACATATCTTCACAAATATTTTGTTATACTGATGAGTCAAAAGTTTGGACTTAACTGCAATCGAAACAAGTAAAATTTAGTCTTCAATCTTTTATTTCTGAACGGTAAATTGCTGCAATTGTTATAAGAATATGGAGTAGGTGTAGTTTAATTGGAAAAGAAAATGTGAGCTACATATATCAAACGAAAATGAGACAATAGGAAACCCTGGATATAGGTTTCATATTACTTGACAATCGTCAGTAAGGTGTACCTGTGGTCTTGAGGAAACTAATGCTCTCTGTCGGATTCGATTTAGTGTTATTTGATCGACAGAACTCAATTGGCGCTAGCAAGGATTTGACGTACATGGCATTGGTCACTACTCACTAACCAATCAATTGTAAGCAGTGAGATAAGCACAAACAATTGAATAATTACGAAAAACAGTTGTATGTACTTACCAGTCGTAGTGTAAATCTACGACCCTACCATGTGGAATCGAACCCAGGTCCTTCAATCTTGCGTGCGAACGCCTAAACCACTGATCCGAGATCCAATGTGTCTAACTTTAATCAAATGGTAATATTGTATGATCATCTTATTCTGTTTTAGGTGGGTAACTGCCATCCACTCGATACGTTTGGACTCCACTGTCCGCTGCTTATCATTAGAATTACAGAAATTAGTCATTAGAAACCTTTATGCTGATAACTCTGAATAAATGACGTTATTATTACCTAGTCCTGTTGTTATTTTTTTTTTAAAAAATAAACAGCATTAGATGAATTGATTACGGGTGATCAGTGTCGAGCAGCATGTGAATTATTTCGTTTAGCTATATGGAAAGATCCTAATATATTGATGAATTTGTTCACTGATCCAAGACGTTTATTACACAAATTAAGTACAGTTAAAATACCTTATGTAAAACCATGTGAATTTTATGATATTGAAGCATCTCGTGCAAAATTAGTAAGTATTTTCTATGTTCTAAATTGATAAATTTTCTTTATATTATTTAATAATCAGAGTGTCTTTCCATTTCCCCCCCCCCTCCCTTATTACCTACTTCAATGAATTTTATCGATCCAAGAAGAAATTGTTTTTTTTTTCTTCATTATTTCATTTTACAATCAGGGTATAACGAAAATATTTTTTAGTAGATTTTCACCTACATTCACTGTATGTAGTTTATTCTTTGACAATTGCCATATGTATATCGATTATGTAATGAGCATACATAAGTAGATATGATCTTTTTTGATTGTGAATTATAGAACTTTAATTTTAACAAATGGTAATGGGGTTGTGTCATATACTGGCAAGTGTTATGATCAACACTTTATCAGTGCGAAAAAGAACTGACCAGTTAATTATAGTATTACGATTCTTTGGATTTAATATCACTTTGATTATAGCGTTTAGTATTAACTAGTGAGCTATTAATCATCACTCCTGTGAAACCGTTCATCAGTTGCAAGCAACATCGAACTTGGAACATATGAATTGGTTCATGTTTCTATATCACATTATGAACACAGAAAGATGAAATTATGAAGATGGATACTAAATTAGTAGAAGTAGTAGTATCAATGACGATAGGAGATCGTTAAAGATAAAGAACATGTATCAAGTGTTATATCCCGTTAAGAATAATGAATAGAAACTGTTGGGATATATTTTTGAACTAATACTTTACGTATATTTTTATTGTATAATTGTTAAGTAACTAGACCACTCATATTCATGTTCTTCTTATAATATGCTTTATTATTATACCCTTTACCATTCTTGAGTTATGCTCAGTCTGTCAATTACTATCTCCCACATTCACAGACACATTTAGCTAAATCTTGTACAAATGTTGTTTCCTATTTTTTATGGTACGATGTGGTCTTGCTGGTTTGTATATAAACCCAGTATGTTCGAAATACATGATTCATATCTCAGAGGATGAGGTTGGTGTTCTAGACTTAACAGGCAAGGCTAGGAGGGAAGCAGGATCGATAAAGACTCTAGACTGTTCGTACGGGTTTTATGCGTCATTGGTCCGATCAATAAATCACTGCTCTCTAATTGGTGGTATCATAACGTTATACATTAATAGGGCACAAAACCACAAGTTATAACATCAACTAGAAGGAAGGAATTCGTGGAATAGTGGTAAGATAATTTTTTAGCTTAGGGTCTAAGGGAAGGGGTGGAATAACTGCTTTTGTACCGTTGCGACCAATTTTGAATCATTTTATGTGATACTTCTAACCATTGGTTACGATAATCATATGAACTACATCCAGATAGTTTGTACTTACTAACATTGTTCAATCCAACAGTCGATGACTTCACGGGCTAACTTCCCTACTATTCCAACAACCTACTAAACTTCAGTTAAGAGGTTGTTAGGAATGAGTGTTACATGTCACGACTGCCTTACATGCAATGAAGATTCACAATCTCATCCGCTGTCTGACAATTTTTGTCTAGTACGCTACTTCTAGCCTCAACATTGCTCACTTGATGGTCATGACTTACGGAAACAATGTTTTGAAGACGCCTTTGGTCAAGTATGCTCGGAAGATACAATGGACGAGAAACTATCCAACGTGACAGATATTCCTTAAAAACGATTATCCACTCAGTGAATCATGAAAGGCAAATTAAGATCTGAAAAACCTCATATAATTCCTAAGAAAACTCTATGAACATCGAGTTCAAGGGAGAATTTAAAAGAATTGTCTAACAAAGTTCTAATGAAGTCTTTTATGCGTCCAAGCTTCATGTCTTCCTTTCCAGCTCTCTCATCATTCCTGAATGTGTCAAAAACAAACTCTCATTAGGCCACATCAATGTATATTTATAGGTTCACTTGCTCTTATGAAGCAGGCTACATAGGTTGCACAAAGCAAACGCTTTCTACAAGAGTCTCCGAACATCATCATGCACAGCTTTCGGAAGGTGAATGTAAATCAGTCAGCAGTTCAATATTAGAAAATTTTATGAACTCTGGTCAGATGTACCTACCTGATAAGTCCTTTAAATTCATCTGTAGTCAGAAGACTTGGTTCAAAAGGAGCACAAATTAATAACCCATGCACTAAAGAGGCACTAGCAACCATCCATCTTTTCAAACCTAAACTCTGTGAATGAGGTACGTGAAAGCCACTGTTTCACAAACGGTAATTTGATTTGATTACATCCTTCTAGTGTTTTTATTCTCAATTTTATAAGCAAAGATGAATGGTGGTAATGGAGTCCGGGACGCACGTTTCGTCCTGTTTGGGACTCGTCAGCTGGACATACCTTTATCTCAGAGCTGATGTTCCTTCCGGAACTCGAACCCAGCACCGTTCACTTCAAATGCCATCTCGTCATCCACTTAGCTACTGAGTCCTTATAGCTACTAGCTTGTGCAATGGGGTGAAGTTTAAATTCATTTTGTGTTGTTTGTTTGAATTTTCCCATTGATGTTTAGGACCGCAATTGATCAGTCTCTTGCTTTTGATTATTCATTATTATCACCTTTACGTCTTATTTTATTCTTCACGCTCCTCATGCTCGTCAAGGCGACAGTTATCTTTCTCACATTTAATTTCGTCTTATTATCTCTCTTCAATTCTCTATTAATTAGCAACATTCTTTGGTACGTGATATGACGGAATCGTCCTTTTATTTTTCGATAGACTTTGTTATTTGTAAATTAACTATGAGTACGATTGTATAGCTTCAGTATCATCGAAAAGAAAACTTTCATCACTGAATTGTCTGTAGATCTTCGAAGATACTATGGGTTACTTTCGTTATCTTAAATACTAGTAAAGTAGGAATAAACTCTACTTTTAAAAATCATTTTTCGCATTCGAAGTGATGTGTACTCATCAAAGAATTGTAAGTATATATGATCGACTTTTAATCACACTTTGTATGAAGTTTAGTGATACCCTACTCGGTTGCCACAGCTGAAGTGATTCATGGTCGAAACCTGAAATATGTTTGATTGAAAACCAAGTGCCAAAACTACTTTGGTGGATTTTCGTTCTCTGAGCTGGATGGTTTGGTCGTAGAGCTTTCAAGCAAAAAAGCCAACAAACGGATCATCCCAATATATATATATATATATATATATATATATATATATATATATATATATATATATATATTAATCAATCTTATGCAAATCAAAGGGCAAAATGACAAAAGAATAAAACTGGACATCATCTACCAAATAAACCGTCCTAGTTGCAGAAAACTCTATATCGGACAATGTGGATGCTCCCTTCATCTTCGACTGCACAAACATCAGTTAGTGTTCAAAGGCCATGACACATATAGTCTTTTATATTATTACAGAGGAAAGTACAAATCTTAGTGTAGAAACTAAATTTCTTTCTTTTTTTTAGTGATCGATGTTTTTGCTTGCTTATCTTTTTTAACTCTTGTCTCTGTTTTTCTTTTCAGCTGTGCAACTGTTTAGGTTTATCATTGAACTGGACAATTATGTGTGATGATGATATGAAGCTAGACATCAATAGTATTATGCAAATTAGTTTAACTCTGTTAAATCATGATGTTGAAAATCATTTATCCAAAGAGATTATGGAGTCCGCTTCCACACCATCAACAGTACTAACACCTAGTTATTTACCAAATTTATTGCCAGAACATAAACTGGTCGGTTTAGCACTAGCTCATAATATTTCCTTACATCCAACGGTGAGTTGCGTTTAAAAAAAATTAAGATCACTAACCGATCTAAGTTAGGCAACCGTATATATATATATATATATATATATATATATATATATATATATATATATATATAGTCCTGTTGTTATATTGCTGACTTTGTTGCGTTTACCGGTTTTAGGTGGTATCATAATCTCTTCAAACGTAGCATCAAGGCAAAAATCGCTTGTAAATCTACCTATACTGAGTAATTCTATTCATTTACAAGCCCAGTAACAGTAGATTTCCATTAGTTTATAGATCTTTACGTAAAACTTTGAACTTTTTGTTCGACTTCAGAAGAGCTTAAAGCAACTTAAATCGATACATTTATCTTACTTATCACACGTGGCATATTTCAAATAAGTCAGTGTACTCGAATTATCTTTTTTATTTATAATATGTGATATCTTATTTGTTGGTTAGTGACTTTAAAAGATATGACTCGAAATCGTTTGGAATGGCACAAGTACAGCCTTTCTTTGTCTTTCTCTAAATTCTGAGATCTTGAATTCCTCATAACTTTTTTTGCTTTTATTTCATTAATTTATATTTTCTTTTTGAGTCGTATCCTAGATGCCTAATTTTTCCTATTAACTCTGATGCTGTCACTACCTCAACTATTCTGGGACTTATCCTGATAACTTCATCTTTCTGTACGATTGGGGTATGGTAATCTAAACTAATGTACATACGTACAGGTTCTACGTTGCGACTGACTGACTGTTAATTATTGGCTGTTACAAATTATCATAGTATGTTTTTTTCAGTAGTAATGAACTACACTTTTAAGGGTCTATTTTTTCTTTGATGGTGGGGAAGGATTTTAAAATCTTTTGGAACAACTGGATGTCATCTATAAAATCATTTTTCCTGGTAGGCACATTTATCTACTTATGTTGTTAGGATCTCTACTACATAGTTCAAAATTTATCTTAGCTTTGTAGGAAACTATTCATTTGTAGAATTAAATCGACACATCATGTCACTAGATAAACAATTGTTTAATTAATTGTCAGTTTTTCTGAGTTACTCTTAGGGATTCTTGTTAGACGTATTAGAAAAATAATAAATATTGATATACTTTAAGAGGTCAACCGGTCTTATTTCAAATTGGTTCCAATATTTCATCATTTTAACGCTGTTTACTTTCTTATTACATTTGTATTAATTTCAAAGTGTGACAGTCTTATTCTAGACAATTACTTATACTGTTAACTAGTTAACTGATTACTAAGGCCAAGGTAATCATGCTTTGAATATTCAATTCAATGTGTAATTAAAACAAATAAAGATTTCATTTATATGGTCTACTTGAAGCTAATTCAGTATGGTGAAAAGAAATTAAAAGTTCTTAATTCAGTTAACTGAAAAAAAGAGTTACCAAGTTGTGTGCATTGCTGTTATGTATCAACATATACTTACAGTGTCCTTTAGAAATAGGATAACGAGAAAAAATTGAAGTGATATTACATCATCCAAAGTGAATAAATTCAATAAGATAAATGTTTATTTGATGTTTTATTAAGTTAATTATAAAATTTTGAGGGTAATGATGTTTATGGGATTTATTTAATCATTATTATTCACGTATGCAGAGAGAGTTCTCATTATGAACTGTTGTCATTTAGTGTAAAATCAAGTAGCCCAATAGACAGTTGGTTCGATATAATTATTCTGAGATGATAACACACTTCATATTGTGAACTGGTTTCTACAAAATCTCCCCAAACCAAATTAATAGCTGTGTGCTTGTTAAAATTTCCGCAAGAATTCTTGTAGGAGGTCTTAACTGATAAAATAAATGCATATCAGGAGTAAAACTCATCACCAATGACTTCGTGAATGACAATCACTCGTTATAAACTAGGGTTGATAAATATGGATCACTCTCTTGAATAGTAATATGGACCTGAGACGACCTGAATGTCTTCGCTTTTGTTCTCGATGGATTCATTGCGCTCACCAATGAAGAGTTTCAAGCTAGAATAAAACATATATCTAGTGTTTTTACTGTTTTCTTTTAAAAGAATAATTTGTAGTCAGCATCAGTAGTCCCTCTTGAGAATTCTATCTCTACATACACTAGACCGATTTCCACAATTATCTTTTTTATCTAAATTATTAATTAAATGATTGGTTTCCAACTTCTTTTTATTTTCTTCATGTCAATGTCGATTTGGATGACTATGATAGCTCAGTGAAAATGAAGCGTTAGAACTGGGAAGTTATTTGTTACATCTAGCTGTAACAAGTGAAAAGTCATTTAAATATCCAATCGATAGTAAGTTAATAATTTTTTGCTTTTTTGAACGTGAGGGTTAGTTTCTTTTAAATTAAATATAGATTCTAACTTGAAGTGGAACCTATGACTTAATGGTGAAGGTGTTCAGCTTTCAATCACTAAGTAAGTCCTCACTCCACCTAGCTCGGTCCCGAGCAACCCGGTGCAGTAGCAACTAGCTGTCATCACACCCAGAGTGTGGTTCATATTCAAGTACCTAATGAGCAAGTTAAATATTGAATCTTATTTTAACTTGATATAATATACTGTAAAATTAATAAAATATTTTTGACAGTAAGAAAATTTATACTGTTCTTGTTCTGGCATGGTAATACTATCTTAATCGATATGAAGCCTCGGACGGATATACTCAACAGGTTATTCTAGAAAAGGCGAACAATACTTCTAAGAAACCTGTGATTTGATACTTACACCCTACATATTTCTTTTATAGGCTGTTTTGTTTCACAACTATAGTGTAATTCAGGGTGAACTGTTGTGCAATATAGTCATCCCAGACAGACACCTCGTAGTCACCACAAGTCGGTAAAAGCTAAGGGTGTTTTACAAATCTATGTCGAGATTTAGTCGGTCACCAACTCTCCAGAGTTTATGAGATTTCAAAAATGAGTGAATCTACCAACACAATCAAATACTACATTCCCTAAAATCAATTTAAAGGTTGCTGAAGACCAGTCCTGAAACAGTATTTTGCATTCAGAAGGGGAGAAGGACATCATAAACATGCTTGCATCGTTGCTTAAGGCTATCAGAAGACTCAATTTTGTCAGCGTCTTCATCAAACAAAGCTATATCATCTTCATATTTTAAGTCAATAATCTGATTTGGTAGGAGATCAATCCCCAAAAAATCAGAGGAAGAAATCGATATTTCTAGAGATTTTTCCATATAAATGGATAAGTAAGGGGTGTTGATGAACAACACTTGGTGCCATCAATTCTGATAACAGCTCACTATAGGTATTTTCAGACATCTCGTGCTGTATGGTCACATTATCAAGTATCGTCTATTCGACGCCTTATATCCTAATATACTTTGAAACTTGATTAATACTCTTAGAACCAGTCACTTTTATCCCTATTGTAATCAATCACTTATTATAATTAATAAAAACCCGATTTTTCCCAATTTAAATTTACTTCTGTTTTATTTATTTAAACGAAATATTTTAGCAATTTATTTACTGCGTACAATCTACTTCTTAGCTGTACGATTTTCAAGTCTTGCTGACTTAGCCAAATGTTATGATATTGAAACATTTCTTCATGAACTCATTAATGAAAGACACTATTCAAATCATAATGTAATCCCGTCGTCATCATCATTAAACTCGTCAACTGTTCCGAACGAACACAAACACCAGGGTGACTACAACAATAGTTTATCTCAGACCACAAGAACAAGCAATCTTTTTCAACCTTCAAAGAATATAGAAAGTGGTATTGAATCAGATTCATTGACAACTTTCGACTATTTGATCGCTTCAAAACTGCTGAATTTCTTATCAAGTAATTGTGAATCAGATGAAATATAACAAAGCGCCATTAATTTGTGAATAATTTCAAAGTGAATATACTATTCTTGTTAATTTTAGGAAGTGATTTTTTCTTTTTACCGTTTTCAACATCATCAGCGCTTTCATCATCATTACTGTCATTGTTATTAGTTGAAAGTGATTTACATTTATTTTTTCATCGATTAATTTTCAATATTCATTCTAATATATTTTATTCATCTTACTTTCTGTTTTCTTCTCAACGTCAATTAATTAAGTTCTCGTCCAATATTCATATTGCTCGTTTTCTTTAATGACATTGAGAATATTATATTTTACTATTGAAAATAGACAGCTTTTTTCTTACATTTCTTCTTATTTAACATTTCATTTAATTGTTTCATTTTGTGTGTGTATGTGTGGTTTTATCATTAGTTGTATTAATGATATAGATGCCGAATCGTTGTCGACATAATACAGTTGACTTGGTCTTGTTCACGAAATATTTGGTTTATATGAGTATAAGTGGAGACACTGTACAGCTGTTTTGTCGTAGTATATTAATCCTCAGCAGTATACATCCATGACCCCACTGCCGGTAATAGAAGCTAGAACATTCAGATCTCGCGATGTGTGATTAACCTTTAATTTACCAAGTCGACATACAGTGGTTTGTATTTCTTAGTTTCGATGCCTGGTGTGGTTGTAGGTGTCTACTGCTGACGACTTCACAATATTTCAGTTTTTTAGAATCAACACTAAATATATTGATATGGGGTTTAAAATTGTATGTATGTATGGACGTATGATGAATACGATGTTAGAATAGCTATCCGCAATAATAATATTTGTAAAGACACCTCATATCGACGACTTTCAGGGACGTATTAGCCAATCAAAAAGCGTCAGTTACGTAAGAATTGTTTCATAAACATTTTTCGCATAATGGATGAACATTCACATTATTGGATTATTTATGATAGTAAACGGAGAAGAGTTGGGATTTGGCATTCGAAGTCGGAGTAGAGCTATGAGACTGGGTTAGGAGTGCTAGAGTTAGGTGTATAGGTTAGGGGGGGAGAATACTTATTATCTATAAAAGTATCCTTTGTTACTCATTGAGTCACATCAAACGCTCACAGATACAATCTGTATTAGAATCAGTTATTTTTTATAACGTAATTTAATCACCATCTTATATTTGCTGTATGGTTGGATAAAAGATATTTTACTATTCTAAGAACTAGATATTGACAGTTTTCAATCAGTTGCTAGCCCCCTGCCATTAATTTTTAATGTCACGCAACAACTCAATGTCGTCTTAAATCTGGTTGACTCGTGAATATAGCATGTTTTTGTCAAAATGCCTTCAGCAAAGCATAGTAATAATTAACAGATTAATCTCAATTCAAGTTGTTAGATATCAATATAACTGTATCCTAAAAGGAACGAATGTTGCTTACAACAGAATATACAAAACAAATGGATACACTGTTTCAAAACTTTGCTCTTGTTTCAAGTACCCTAACGTTACAAACTTTAATATTACTATAAATACAATTTTACATACTTTATCTTTAAGAATGTAGTTTTATGAGTTAGTATTATTTAAATTAGTACATACAGTATTGATGATACTTAACGAATATGTAAAATACACAGTATTAATCCTCCCGTAGATGTTCTACATTATAAACAATACATTTACAACCACTTTATATTTATGACTAATTTTCAATGTCTAATTTCTTGCTATCTTAAACATATTTATCGTAAAAGATGTTATATTGTAAGTTATGTTTTATGTAAAGTTAACATTTTAAATCTGATTGATAAATTCAAGTGACTAGTATTTATCAATTTTGGGTTGTGCAGTTTGTTGAACTATTGAAATCATGAACCGAACTAAGCTAGACTACTATTGAAAACCTGGAAGCGCTGAACGTCCGTTTCGTCCTAGTATGCGACTCCTTAGCATTGTACACCCACAAATTCAAATATGGGAATCGGACATAAGATCAGTCTCGCGTGCGAACTCTAGGTCACTGAGTAGAGATCCAACTGTGTCTATAACTAACTGGTATAGAATGCCTAGTGATTCTAGAACAAGTGAAATGACCTAATTTTTCCATTTTACAAACCCGGATATATATCATACTGTTGCATGACCAGAAGGTCCGTATCAGAGGACGCCATACCACTACATTTCCCGCCAACATAGTCGGTGTTTGGACATACTTAACATATATACCAACTAACGCAGTTGATGACGATTCACTACCTCGTCAATCGATCTGTCATATTCGCCCTGTGCCCAATATCGGCATCGCTCACTCGGTAGTCCCAAAATACACGAGCAATGCTTTGAAGACGCTTGTGATAGAATACTAATAACCTAAGAATAACCGCTATTCTCGATAGCCATGTTTCATGCTCATGGAGTACAACAAAGCGAGCTGTTGTCCATCCTTTTATTGAAGACGCATAACTCTCATGCTCCACGGCAGACGCGAATCGTCAAAGGTCAATCAAGCTATATAAATCCGTGCCGAGATTTCGTCAAGTCTGATAAGACTTTCAAGAGAGCTCATAGGAGAAATTCTAATTGTATTCTTAAATATCTGGGTTATATCTGTTACCATAAATAATCTAGTATACTGAAGCAAACCCTGATATATAATAAATGTTTCTTACAATGTTCTAATCTTATCTGTAATATTTGTCTCAGGATGAACGCATGAAAAGTTTCGTATAAAAGACAAAGTTAATTAGAATGTATAATTGTTCTAGATTTCATGACAGATTCCGTGTGAAAATTGTTAGCTATATTAAATAATCACCCTATACATAGAATTAATCTGTTATGTTAAGGAACAAGTTCTGGTGAAGACTTTTTGAGCATAATAAAGCATTCAGTCATTATATAACTGTTAACAACACGTTATTAAAGCTTAACTCTAAGATTTATTAATAAATAAAATCTATTGTTTTTAAGCAACACATCATTCAGCCAGATCGCTTTGTTTGTTTGTAAGGTTATCAACTTCTTGCTAAATTTTTTTTAACTGATGTGCTCTTCAACGTTTTCCTTGTTCAGTAAGCGTGTTGTATCTAACAGTTTTAAACATATTCTCATTCGGTGAATGTTGAATGTAATTTTCATTTCAAGCGTCTAGGCTTATTAGTACCTGTTTAGTATAAACATGGAAATTTCATGCATGACAACATACCGTATATATATATATATATATATATATATATATATATATATATATTTAGTGATAAATTACACTCTAATACACGAAATCAACATAAGACAATAACCGAAAGTTCTAAATATAACACGCTTATTCAACGTTGAAAACGCTACGGATAAACTCGGCTAGTTTTTATTTCGTTTCTATATATTAAAATTTACACATAAAATTGAATATTATTTCACAAACATCAACAACAACAACCAAAAAATACATGAATACAAGAAAAAGAAATGTTTGTAAACATTTAAACAGAACACAAAAATAGTTAGTGACATTTCACTTTCATTCAGTATTACGTTAAGAGAAGAGGATAATGAATGATAATGATGACGAAATGTATGTGTCTATGTGTGTGTGTGAGTTTAATTTTGTAATGTTAAAAAATAATATTGCCAAAAAAGTCAGCCATAATGATCAGATCATTTGAGATGTTTGTGACAGTTTTCCATCTCTCTCACTCTCTCTTTTTAGAAGTTATCAAAAATCTTATATAAACTAGTTGATTAATGATAGAAACAAAATGACATTTATTAAACGCTTGAATTTAATTTATCATATTCACTATTTAATCATGATTATGAAATGGTTACATTCAAATTAAAACAATTCACAACATACATAAATAGATAGAAATATTTTATATAAATAAATAAACTATCTAAGAAATTTATAACCATTAAATATTCTTAATTTATAATTGAAAATGTAAGCAATTGTTTCAATAGTCCAATAAATTGAATATAAACAACAATAACAAGAATAGAATTTATGTAATTGAACAAAATAATCAACATTACACATATATATAATAGACATATAATTAGAATAATAATAATAATAGGAATGAATAGTGTTATTAACTACAAGCACATCCTAAAACAATTAAATTATGTAATGTATGCATTTGTAATTCACGATTTGAATCTAAATATAAAACAGACATACTAGTTAATTGTGTTGGATGACAACAAGATTGTACATCATCACGTTGAATATTTCCAAATTGTGATAAATTTTTACGTAATAATAAATCCATAACATCATAGTGTAGACTTTTTGTTGATGTGACTAGAAAATGAAGAAAGAAAAATTAGACGTACGTCTATGATAAAAAAAAAATCAAATAATTCATATCAGAAGGGTTTTGTGGATATTATAGTAATTTCAGTGGTTGAAATCATGAGTCGATTGAAGCTAGATCATTATGGAAGACTGATAGGTCCTGGGTTCGAATCTTGCGAGGCGTGATCGTGGGTACGCACTGCCAAGGAGTCCCACAATAGGACGAAACGGCCGTCCAGTGCTTCCAGGTTTTCTATGGTTGTCTAGCTTCAAATGACTCATGATCTTAACGATTGAAATAAAATAATTGTTTAGACTAAACAAATTGTTAGGTATAGGATTATTGGTTGACAATAATCACTAATGCAATAATCAGTAATATGTATCTCTACCATTCCCAAAAATCTATTAGTAAGACTAACAACAATCAGATTGTATTTTTGCATTCATTGAAAATAAGAAAAGAAGACAGCTGTTTGGATAGTGGAGACTATACTCTTATAATCTCTTAGAAAATTCGACTACTTTTCTTGTCAAATAGAATCACGCTAGAAAGCATTAGATGTACTTAAGGAACATCTTAATAAATTCAGCACGTAAATCTCTTCGTATCATTGATGGTAAATCGATCAATTAACTAATAATACAAATTGCTAATATTCTCAATATTTATCTATTCGAGTAACTGAGAAAAAGTGGATCTGAAAACTTTATCTGGAACTACGATTAAAGATGATTATGTTTAGAGACGTATTAGTATTTTTAGAAGATCATAACCCTTGAAAAAGTTATTGGCTATCGGTATCCAGGAACTTTGTGTTTGGAGTGGTAAATACATAGTTTAGATCTCAGTATGAACCTTGAGGTCGATATACTGGTAGGCCCAGTTGATGAAATACAAATAGACTAAAACGCACGTGTAAAGCTACTCTACTGATCTAAGAAAAATCTTGTTTAACATCAATACACAACTGAAAATTATAGTAACCTACCTTTGCAGGATCCTCGACAATAATTCGGTTCAAAACTTTTCGGGTGTATAATCCAATTATCCCAACCAATATCAGAAAATTTAACAGATAATGGTTGTGTACAACAACTATAATGGTGTCCATTAGAACGACATACATTGTATATTGTCTCATCTCCTTTAGTTAATGAACGCCTCTGTCTTTTTAAACGTGGACGATATTTAATTTCCATAACGACCTTAGATATATATAGAAATATTAAAATAGAAATATAACTCTTGATAAATCATTTATGTAATTGAAAATGAATATGAGGTTCTTGGTATAAGAGATTGTAGAATTTTCACAGTTTAAACCACGAGATAATTTTAGCCAGACCACCATTAAAGTAACTGTGGCTGCCAACGTGGTATCATAGAAGTTAAGCTTATATGGTCGAGACTAAAGGTCCTGTTTTCGATCCTCGGACCCAAGGTTGTGAATGAGCACTGATGACTAGTCCCAAACTAGGACGAAACGGTCATTCTGTGCTTCCAGGTTTCCAACTGTGGTTTATCTAAAATCATTTCGTGGTTTAAACTATGGTTAAACATAATTTCGGCTGAAGGGGGTATATACTTTATAGGTTCAATTTAGTTCCAAACGATGAGGGACTTATTTCAGTTTACGCAGAAGCAATCATCATATTGTATCGATTTACTCAAAAAATTTTAATTTCTAAGATCCTTTAATTATGCTATATGCAAAATATTATAGAATAAGATCGATCTGTAGTTAGGATAACTTAAGTTCGTTCCACAAAACACTACATTTACTCCTATTTAAGACACAGTAAACTATTTAAGTTCTCCTATAAATTATGGATGAATATTTGTGAAATATTTTTAAGTGGAATATTTATTGATATCGGTTTTCTCTTTACGACCACCATTTAAGCGGTTTTATTTTGTGACAAAAACTATGGTGATGTCAAATAACTAAAAGGCGATCGAACGAGTTAATACACCAATAAAATTTTTAGAAAAATGACAATCATTGTGAAGTGCAAACCTGCTTTCAGGTTTTCCATGGTGATCTACCTTCGATTGACTCTTGAATTCAACTATTAAAATTTCTATAATATCAACAAAACCTCTCGCTGATTATAAAATACAGAAATGTTAAGTTTATTATAACATCTGCTGAAATTCAGAAGCTTAATACAGGTCAACTTTGAAGCCTTTATCAATAGCATTCTTCCAATTTATTCACTTGGTGTTGTTTTACTTCTGTCTTCCCATTGTTATTTAGGACTGCAATCGATAAGTCTCACGTTAACATATGTACATCCTGTGCGGATTGCCTCGATATCGGCCTAAGTCACAACTTTTTTAAGCGAAGATGAATAGTAGCTAGCAGTGGAATCTAGTTTGACGCACGTTTCTTTTTATTTAGGACTCATCAGCTGGATGTACCTGTATCGCAGAGTTGATGTTCACTCTTGAACTTGAACCCAATAACGTTCGCTTCAAACGTCACCGCGTTATCCATTTAGCTACTAAGTTCTAAAAACAAATGAATTTATAGGCTTATTTATTAATCTTTTTTGCTAAATATTCACGTAATTTTACTAGAATATATAACTGTAAACTATATGATCTATTCAATAGTGAAACATTTCTCAATCTTTTATGTGGAGTGGAGATTAAAGTAATTTCAATGGTTAAGATCATGAGTCAGTTGAAGCTAGACCACCATGGAAAACCTGGAAGCACTGGACGGCCGTATCGTCCTATTGTGGGACTCCTCAGCAGTGCGCATTCACAACCCCGCTCGCTGCGAGATTCAAACCCAGAACCTACTGGTTTCGCGCGCGAGCACTTAACCACTAAACCACTGAGTCAGCATCCAATGGTGTTAATGTCTAACTTCAAATAATCCACGAAATTGAGTGACACATTCACCATTGTCTTCAGTGAGTTACTATCTCACAACACCCCTGGTTGAATATTAAATTTAATATTAGATATCTTTTAATTACCTTTTTTGGATCAATAATATTTTGTTCATTATCACAATCATTACACATAATCATTAAATATCTTATTAATGGTTTATAAGCTTGAATTTTTATATTATTATATTTTAACCATTGAATCATACGATTTGTAATATTTAATGTTATCATAGATGTTAAATGATTTTCAGGTAGCATAGTTTTAGCTATTTCTGGTTTAATTAATTTAAACATTCTATGAAAATCATTCATAGATAATCTATATGGATCATTGAATAAATTGAATGATTGAAATTTTTGATCATTTTCCATTTCATTATAATCATTGATATCAATTTGTGGTAATGATTCAGCTGTTAAATCATCATTCTCGTTATTATTATTATTATTATCATCATCATCATTAATATCATTAAGCCATAAAAAATTTGGTTTAAATAATGTAGGATAAATTTCCCATAAAGTGAATATTGAATTTGGACGAATTTCACCATTGATCTATAAGAAAAAAAAATGAATAAAAGATATTTAAAACAATTAGTTCCTTTGATAAATTTCGATAATGCAATAAGAGGATGAAGTTGGTCCAAATTATGTGATAGATATTTGAGCAATACATTTCGAACAATCTGATCATACATTACATACTTGGTAAGGACATTGATATATGAAAATTAAAACGTCAACTAGACAATAAAGGGTGCGATTAAGGGGGGGGAGTGAATATATACCAAAATGGTTGCAGAAACAAATAGATTCCGATGGTTAAATAAGATCACAGGATAAACGGACATCATCCTCCATTACGAAACATTTGATTGAGACTGGTTATAAGGTTGATATCAAATCAGCATTTGTAGTGGTGTTATATAAAAGCCTTCAAGGACGTATACTAAGGTTTATTGAAGCATTGGCTAAATGGAAATCGAAACCCTCTTTATGTGTTCAAAATCAATTTGTCCAAAGTGGTAATCACATTTGTTTTTGTGTACTTCCAGGTTTTCCATGGTGGTCAAGCTTCAACTGACCCATGATCTTAACCATTGAAATTACTATAATATCCACAAAACCAATCTAATATTAATCAACATTTGCTCACAAGTGACTGGCTTCACGAGGTATATCCTGGAGTTCTATTGAGAAGTAGTGACCAGTGGAGTTCAACCAGGGATGTTGTGAGATAGTAATTTACTGAAGACAATAGTGAATGTATCTCTCAATTTGGTGGATTAGTTGAAGTTAGACATTAACACCATTGGATGCCGACTCAGTGGTTTAGTGGTTAAGTGCTCGCGCGCGAAACCAGTAGGTTCTGGGTTTGAATCTCGCAGGGGGCGAGGTTGTGGATGCGCACTGCTGAGGAGTCCCACAGTAGGACGATACGGCCGTCCAGTGCTTCCAGGTTTTCCATGGTGGTCTAGCTTCAACTGACTCATGATATTGACCATTGAAATTACTTTAATTTCCACAAAACCCATTTGATATTTTTTCTTTGTTATGGTTTAGCTTTAACCAGTCTAGCTGACCTCTTAATTTTCATATATAAATGTTCTTAACAAGTATATATGTGTAATCAGATTGTTCGGAATGTATTGATCAAATATATATCACATATTTCTGATAAACTTCGTCGCCTCATTGCATTATTAAAAGATATTTATTTCAAAAGTTATACCTATTTTGAGAATAAATTCACCTATAACTCTTTCAGAGTTACTGTCAGATTTCAAGTCCGGATAAAGAAGGAAAGTTGGGCATATGATCCGCAACCTCATCCTATAGAAAATAACCTTTCTAAAACAGAAAATCTTTAACCAGAATAAACAAAGTAATTTTAAATATATAGTGATATTTATTTTTGAAGAATTCAATTTTGAATGTTATAACCACTGTTATATAAGATATTAGTTTGGGTTGACTGATATTATCTAACATAGAATGTATTGTGTTATGAATCCGATTGGTCGGTAATAAAATTCCTCTTCAGAATTCATGCAAATTAACGCTAACGAATAAAATTTCTCGGTTATTTTTTTTAAAGAAAGCTGGTATTCCCAAAAAGATTGATTCATTCTTCACTAAATTATATAATTTATGAGCTATGTCATTGAACTAATAATGCCGAACCTTTATGAAAATAAAATGAATCATTGATTATTATGAAATATCGAGATTTTTTGATGTTCATTTAATTGACTGAATTTTCAATATGGGGTTGTTGAGATCATAAATCGATTGATGTTAGACCACTATTGACAATCTGGAAACACTGGACAGCTGTTTTGTTCTATTATGGGACTCCGCGGAAGTGCGCATCCACTACCCCGCTCGCGGGATTCAAATCCAGAACCTTCGTTCTAGCGCACGAACGCTTAAACTCTTGACCACTGAGCCGGCCGGCATCCAACGGTGCTGATGTCCAACTACAACCAATCCACGACCATCTTCCATTGCACCGAGGTTGATATCTGTCTCTACCTGACATGGATTAGCTCCATTATTTATGGCTTCTTATTAGAACTCCGAGAATTCCCTCACGAATCTAGTCACTGAATTTTATTAAAATGCAAAGCTTCTTGTAATTTTCAACTAAAATGTCCAGTCGTAGAACAACACGGCCAATTTTTAATAACTATGAGTTTGTGGGTTGTTTAATTACTGATTATAGTCATAAATAAACCATAAAATATAAATTAAAAAAAATTGATATCAAAATCGAAGTTGACTTATGTAAGCTGTGCATGAAAATGTGTTACTTACTACTTATAAGTAGCTAGAGTATTTGCACTAAATTTCTGTCAAAATGAAAAGTGAATGATCATTTGTACCTTAATGACGTTACTTCTTCATTTTTATCATCATAAATGTATGTCACATATTCCATATTGATATTCGTACAGAAGAACCCGAGTTTTTTTATGACCATAATAAGAAGCCTGAGTCAAATTTTGTTTTACTTCATTATTGTTATTAACCTCTGTTTAGCTATTTCGTAGTGAAATTCTTAACTTAAGGAACTTTGACTACTTAATTTTGAATCTGATTAAGTTTACTGGTATCTTCACTGAATTGCAATGATACTTATTCAAATCTGAATAAATTAAAAATAATAAGTGTAATAGAATAAATTGGATATACTTATTTGATGGACTATTGTCAAATTGCCTGCAATCTAAAAGTGATTTTAATAATTCTTTGCAACCAATCTAAATATCTTATAATGATAATAATAAAGATTAATAGACAGATAGGCAACTAACGAGAATCCACAAAACAAATGAAGAATACATCTTATTATCTTAAGTTTTTTATGTGAGACTATAATTTATGAACGAACCAATCGGTTATAAGATAACAGGTCATGGATTTTGGCGCAAAAATTCATTCATACATTTGGTTAATTAATGTTTTGGCTTTACAGCTGATGTCAGTTCGTGATGAAAACCCTAAATCTAGTTCCTAACTCTAATCATCAACTGTAAATCATAATCATAATCCCTTACACTAGTTTATAACCTTCATTTGGTCCTAGTTATTAGGTGAACACTCTCAAGGTCACTTAAACACTGTCGTCCATAAATTATAATCTCACCATAATACGGATTGTATTAAATTTAAAAAAAAACAGTAGTTGACTGGAATCTTAATAGAATACAACAAATTGTTTGATTATTCTACTCAAATATTTGTCTTTATACACTTTAATATAATAAATGGAATTGTATGTTTCTAATTATCTTAACTGTCGTTAATTAACTATATCATTCTTAGAAATACTTTATATATACATATATTTACAATAATCAGCATAAACTATTAACATTCCTTTAAGTGTACTACTACTATTCACAATATAAAAATATCAACAGATCCATTTAAAGGTCACTTTCATTTGGGTTAATTCAAATATGGCAACCATGTAAAGAGAAGAAGAAGAAGAAAAAAACAAACAAAACAAACAAATGAAATATTACTCTACTGTCAAAAATACCCATGATAATAATAATAATAGTAACAATAATAACATTCCTCCTCAATGCTTTTTTCTTGTTGTTATTGATCTAAATTTTTTTTACACATTTTCTTCTTACTTCTGACCTCTCTCTCTCTCTCTTTCTCTTTCTCTCTCTCATTCAATTAATTTTTGCAATAATAATTGGTTTCTGTTATTGAAAATTTTATTTTGCCCTCAATCTCTTACAGATTTTTATTGATATAAATAAAGAGAAAAAATAAACATTTAACCATTTAGTAGAAAAAAAAAGTAAACTAAAAAAAATAAAGAAAGAAACAAATGTTGTTGACTTTTTGTGTACTTTTTATTCAATATATTTAGTTATTTATTTATTTTATCAGTTTAGATGTTGTGGAGATTATTAAGTTTTTGCTTCAAATCATGAGTCAATTGAAGCTAAATCATCATGGAAAACCTGGAAGTACTGGATGGCCGTTTCGTCTTAGTACGGGACTCCTCAGCAGTGCGCATCTACGATACCGTGTCACGCGAAATTCGAACCCAGGACCTATTAGTCTCGCGCCAGGCGTTTAACTAACTAGACCACTGAGCCGGCATTCAATGATGTTATTGTCTAACGTCAACCAATCTACGAAATTGTGTGATCATCTTCCATTGTACTGAGGTAGACTCCTGTTTCTACCCGACATGGATTCGCTCCACTGGTCATGGCTTCTCATCAGATTAGTTATTTATTGATTTTATTCATTAGATAAATATATTTTTTAGGGAGGTGGATCCGTAAAAATGAACCACAGAAACTAATTCCACTCATTAACAATTATTTACTCGTAATAAGTTTATATACTTAGCATTGAGTCAAATGTTTTGTTAAATAAATCAAATGTATTATTGACATATGAATAAGATTAATTAAACTGAATTAGGTGGAATGAAATTGGAATTTGTAATTTTATAATTAAAAAGTATTTTTACCATTGATTATAATGAAAACGATTTTCTAAGCAAATTATAAGAAATTTGTCGGTTTTTACTTGTAGTAAATTAATCTAAGTTGTGAATTGAATGAAAAACGAGGAATACGTAATAGTTATTTAAATTTAGTATGAGATTATTCAATAGTGCTTACTGAAGAACTCACTAGGAATCATCATGTTATATTGCGCATTGAAATCATAATATTCGATATCAAACTGATGGCTTTAATGGTTGAGAATTTACCTCAAGATGTGGAAGTAATATTTACGGATTTTTGAGAGATGGTTATGAATGGTTACTGTTGACTAGTCCCATTCTAGAATGAAATAGCTGTACAGAGCATTCTATTTTTCAATGATACTTCAACTGAGATCAATCTATGATGAATACAATCTAAGAGGTAAACTAATATTCACGAAATGTTTAGAAATAAAATCATTGTATTTTTTTTAAACTTTAGGCTATTTGATCTGTTCTAATATTGAGAAAAACCTTCAGATATGAGAAATCACTGAGATGTGTACGATTTTTAAGATCACTTTAATTATAGAATAATATCATCTAAGTAATCATCGAGAAATAAGGTAAATTTCAAATACATCAAATATCAATTTATATAATGTTCATATATTCACCTAGGATTTGGCTTCAAAGTGTTTATTTTATTATTCATAAGAAAATCCAGAACCTGTAAAGATTACGTTAGTTGTCAATCAATAAACCAATGATGATAATATTGGGTGCGAACCGCACTGTTTCTTGAACTGACTGATGTTTGAAATGTAAAGTACTGGAGTTTAATTCAACTGTTTAGCTTTATTTTGGCTACAAGAAGATTTAAGAGGTTCAACTCTGCACACAGTAGTAGGTGAATGTTTCAAAATAACTGCGAATTAGATTGAAAAACGTGTAGAATTTCATTAGATACTCAATAGTTCAATGTCAGTCTATAAATATTGACTTTCTTAAACATTTGAAGTCAGTCAGCTACAAAGGTAAACTAGATTCATATATGCATCGGTTCAAGTTACCACACCTCATTAGCACAACCAGATGAAACACCAAATTCATAGGAGTAGTTAGTTCAATGATAGTAATGTATAAAAGAAAGATTTCATATAAGGATATAGTAGTGGAAGAAAGAATTAAAAAGAAAGGTATAAAGCAATTTTAATCTCACGGTTTTAAGAGAAAACAAAGAGTGTATACACCTATGCCATTGTGACCGAGTCTGAGCTATATCACCTGGTCTCCAACCACTAGTTACGAAGGCCACGCGGACCCTAACCAAGTAGTCTGCATCTATCAACATGGCTCAGACCAAACGTTAGTGGCTTTATGGGTTGATGCTGCGTTTTGATTTGGCCGCCCCTATTTTTCTTCCATCCGTCTTTAACACTAGCCATCATCACAAGTCGTGGTAATCGATGGTCGGGCATGCGTAGTACGTGACCAAATTATCTTAGTTGATGAAGATTTACAATCTCACCAACTGATTTGCCACCATTCTCCAATACACTGCGTCTAACCTCATTATTACTTATCAGGTGATCCTAACAGATACTGGAAATATTTCTAAGACATCTGTGATCAAATACTAGTAGCTCATTATTATCCTCTAGCCTTATTGGTCACGTTTCGCAGTCGTAAAGTAGAGCAGAACAAACTGCCATGCAGTATACTCGTTCCTTAACTGATAGACGGATATCTCGCCTTCACCATATGTGACGTAAATTGGCAAAGGCCAAACCAGCTTTTCGAATCCATCCACAAATTTCGTAGAACACTAACCCATTAGGGCTGATCAAAATCCTAAGATAAGTGAAGTTGTCGATGCGTTCGACTACTTCACTCCCTATTCTTAGTTCAGGTATTGACGGAGGCCAGTTCTGAAACATTTAGAGGGGGAAAGCAATCCATAAAAATCGTTTCAATTCTAACATACAAAATTATTCATTATTACTGCAAAATGTTTTGAGATGTTTAGTGACTTGTTAAACTTAATTGATGGAGATTGGTTTCTTTAACACCATATTATAGTCACTCAAATTTACACTGATAACCCAGTTTATTTGTTTGATAAACTTTTCTTACACCTTGTTGGATGATCTGATTTAAAAAATATCCTGATTAATAGAGTTTGATCATTCTAATTGTGAGGCAGTTCCCTATCAATGTTATAGTAATGTACTTCGTTTTATCATAAATCCAGTCATGTGAAGTTAAATGTATAAAGAATTGAATGACAACTTAGTAGTCATAAAGACCAAGTTCTCCTGTGTTTACCCGAGGTTTTAAGCTCGATCTTTGGTGGGGTCGTGCACATAAACTGTTGTTGAGTCCCGTTTTAGGATCGAACAACTCTAGTGCACTCAAATTTCTAATGGTTGACTAACTAAGGTCAGTTCATAATGTACATTTTAATATAGCTATGAGTATTTCATGTCATTGAAGTCAATACTCAATTCAAGTATTCCTTGCTAACTCTTAATCAGTGAACAATTTTAATTATGTGAAAAACCTAAGGATTGTTTATCAGTGAGGTAAAGAAAATAGATTTTTATCTAATTTTAATGCATAAGACCAAAACCTTTAAATCTTTTGAGAACGATGAAAAAATTTGTGATATTGAAATATTAGTGGTAAATAACTAGATTCTGTGATACATTCAGGTTACATGGTTTACATCAAAAACTGACACTGTTTAAAGAACCATTAAGGTTTTTTAATAATGCATATCCATAACTCTTCAAGTCATTGAACCCGAGGACAATCATGTCATGAAGAAAGAACTCAACCTTCATAACACTACATTGACATCCATTGGTTTACATTTTTAACTTCAATCGATTCATGTTATTTCTGTGACCAGTAGAATTCAGTCGTGTAACGAACAAGCCAGTCGCCCAGCATTAGTACCAGATGGTTGAGTGATAGCGCCAACTGATCGTGGTTAAAAATGCAAACCATTTTATGTTAACTCAGTGATCTGCAGGCTAAGAGCCCTAAGAATGAACAATTAGAAAACATTTTATGGATTGCTTTCAAATATTTATGTAGGCCAATATTTATAGTAAGTTTACATGATAAACTGACATATTGAACTATTGAGTATCTAATGAAATTCTACACGTTTTTCAATCTAATTCGCAGTTATTTTGAAACATTCACCTACTACTGTGTGCTGAGTTCAACCTCTTAAATCTTGGTGTAGCCAAAATAAAGTTAAACAGTTGAATTAAACTCCAGTACTTTACATTTCAAACATCAATCAGTTCGTGAAACAATATTCACTGTCGTGCAATGCTGCATTAGGATCAAACTTCTTTCCAATACTTCCCATCTTTCAATGTTTGTATAAAACAGATCAATTTATGATGTAAAATTTGAAACCAAGTAATCTCTACAAATTTTAACCCTCAAAATATTCTAGTTCCTTACTGACTTGAATCTGTTGTAGTATGTTAACTTAGAATTTTGATTTTATTATTCTTAAGAAAAACAAACTATTTTGCCAATTATTTATTATTTGTATGGATTGAACTGTTTAATATCATTGTTTAGTGATTGAAAATCAATTAAATATCGATTGCATCATCATTTCTAATTACGTAACAATAACTTTTTTTTGAAACTACACATTATATTGAAACACTGTTGACTTTCCTTCCACTGTCTACTACATCACGTAAAATTACTTTCTCATTCAACATTAAAGCTAATAATCACTGATTAGTGTAAGAATTTTTGTTTCCCCCAATATTCAATAATGAGTAACATTCAACCAACTGAGTTTTCTTTTTTTTTTTACCAACATTAACACCGTTGGATGCCGGCTCAGTGGTCTAGTGGTTAAGTGCTCGCGCGCGAAGCCAGTAGGTCCTGGGTTCGAGCCCCATGTGGTGTGGGATCCTGGATGCACATTGCTGAGGAGTCCCATACTAGGATGAAACGGCTGTCCAGTGCTTCCAGGATTTCAATGGTGGTCTAGCTTCAACTGACTCATGATTTCACCATGATTATTATTCTTCGATTTATGAAACATACTATTCAGTGTAACATCAAATATTACTTTGTCATTACTGAAATAAACAGTAATATTTAATGTGATATTCATCGATTGGGAAAATATTTCACTTAAACAAATTCGATGATGAATAGTTATTGAAAAACATGGTTAAATTGTTTCTCATTATTGATCGATATCTTAATTTTCCAGGTATTTCAATGTTATTTTACCAATTTAAGAATGAATAAACTTAATTCAGATTATAAATGATTTGGTTAAACATTTGATAGTGTATTACTTCAACAGATGATGACATCATACGGTACTATTTTTTATCATTTGTAATCTATCCAGAGAGTACTTTTAAGGTTCTGTTTCAACTGTGATATTTCAATCATTAAGTTCAAGCTTTGTGTAATAATAAACAAAAGAATAAATGGTGGTTGGACGCGCGTCTCGTCCTAATTGAGACTCGTCAGCTGGACATATCTGCATCTCAGAGTTGATTTTCACTCCGGCACTCGAACCCAGCACAGTTAGCTTCAAACGTCATCGCGTTTATCCACTTAGCTACTGAATACTGATAGCCACTTGTTTGTGCAGTGGGGTGAAGTTTACATTCATTTTGTGTTGTTTATTTAAATTTTCCGATTGATGTTTAGGACTCCAATTAATCTGTCCCTTATTGGCATATGTGCTTACTGTACATATTGCCTTAGTAGTAGCTATCAGAACTCAGTAGGTAAGTGTATAATGTGATGACGATTGAAGCGAACGATATTGGGTTCGAGTCCCAGAGTGAACATCAACTGTGAGATGCAGGTACATCCGGCTGACGAGTCTTAAGCAGGACAAAACGCGCGTCCTGGATTCCACTGCTAGCCATCATGCATCCTTGATTTGAATACTTATGACTTAAGGCAATATCGAGTCAAGCCGTACAGGATGCACATATACCAATAAAAGACTGATCAATTACAGTCCTAAATATCAATGAGAAAATTCAAATAAACAATACAAAATAAATTTGGGTAGTGATGTTATTTTAGAGTATTTTAATGGATTATCATAAATTATAAAATGAAATATTTAATTATTCACCTCAACATGAAGAGTAACTCGGCTTATATGAGTTGGATCAATTTCTTCGGCTACTTTTAATGTAAATATATTTGGATTGGGCAGTTTCACTGGAGGTTGGTCTGAAAATTGTAAAAAAAAACAAATAAGTTGTGAAGCTTGTTTTCATCGAAGCTAAAGTATTTTTGTATTATACAATAAAAATATGAAAATCATACACTTATTAAATCATTTGCACATCTTCTTTGCATTGTTTCTTACAGACTTCAATTGTCCTTTATATGCTTTAATATTCGTCCGATTCTGATTTTATTACAATTACTCTTTGTTCATCTACATATTTTGTTCAATTCAGTCCACTTCTGCCAGGCATTCCATTTCCGATTGCGGCTACATACTACTTATATCCGTCACTATGAATAGCATACACTACTCCAAAACGTATGAAGTTATATTTACCTTCTACATATGTTACGCATCAAATGAACACTGATGTGATCATTTGTTAGAAATTCGGTAAAATTGGTTACCTATTACTTATCAGAAATGATTGAAGATTGATATTGATTAAATGAAAGGTAGAATATAAAATTGAAGATGATGATTTCATTATGCATTAATAAATAAATCCATAATTAATTCAACCATTATTAATAAATAATGTCTAATTTATTTTTCATCTAATCCATATTCATATTTCAATACATTGAACATGAGCTGTGCTTGATAAAAAATAATCAACAATGTTATAGATTTTAATAGTTGGCATCATGAGTCAATTGAAGCTAGACCATCGTGGAAGCAGTGACCAGTGAAGTTCAACCGGGTCTGTTGTGAGATATTAACTCATTGATGGAAATGATGGATGTGTCGCTCGATTTTGTGGATTAGTTGAAGTTAGACATAACACCATTGGAAGCCTGTCGGCTCAGTGGTCTAGAGGTTAGGCGTTCGCGCGCGGTACCGATAGGTCCAGGGTTCGGATCTCGCAGGGGGCGAGGTCGTGGATGCACACTTCCGACGAGTCTCAAAATAGGAAGGAACGACTGTCCAGTGCTTCGAGGTTTTCTATGGTGGTCTAGCTTCAATTGACTGATGATCTCAACTATTAAAAATACTATAATATCCACAAAACCCCTTCGGATTCTAATGTTATGGATGTTTACATTTTACAATATTAATAACTTAAACCACATTAAATATTGTCCTCTTCCTAATGATAATATATTATAAATGTATATAATTTATGCTGATTCGACGAACTAGTGAATAAGTACAATTCAATGAATATGTGTATTGAACTGCAACAGTTATATACAAAATATCCAACGTCATGGATAGAAATCAAATTATAGAATAATGAAGTGTAATTTCTATATCTTCAATGAAGAAAGATACAACGAACTGATCAGTTGAAATCGACTAAATAATATTTTATTCCATTTGATCGTTTATAAAAAAAAATAACAGAATTACAGGTCAACTATTTCATTATATTTACATAATATAATCAGAACTATGTTATAATATAATCCAGTCACTATACCACGCTTATTATAAGGAGCTTGTGAAAATTACTGAATTTTATTGTTTACATCATGATTTGATGTTAATTAGACAATTATTCTATTAAAAAAAACTATGAGGCAATTGCCTACTTATAGCATTGAAAGGTAGTTGTGTAAAATTGGGAATTGACTTGAATTTAAAATTGTAAATTAGTGATTCTAAGGTTACAGTTTAATTAAGAGATCTAAAGGTTTTGAATTAGATCCTTGATGGAGTCGTAGATGTGAGCTGTTGAGGAGTCTAATTCTAAGATAACACATCCAACCACTACTTCCTGGTTTTGATTGGTAGTTTAACTAATAAAAGTTCATGATATACGTTAAATTATAACTATGAATAGTTGATCAGACAACAAATGAAGTATCACTTCTACCTAACAAATCAATTAGGAATTGCAAAAATTCATTTCGGATTTCTTTATGTTGCATAAACAATTAAATATTCAATGTAAATCTTGATACACAACTGCATTATACACAAATATCATTTTTTTCATATGAAGTGTAAATTATTTGTCATATTTGCGTAGAGTACTGAAAACCCTATCTTTCCCAACTCTATGTATTTATCTTTCTTCTTTAAGAAAATCTATAATATCTATGATTTGCTCTAATTTGTCAAGGTTTTTGGTATCTATGCAGTTGCATCATAGATTAGAACTATGATATTTAAACTATATTTCAATAAATTACCCTCTTAAACCGTATATAAATATACGTATTGTGAGTTACAATTATGGCTCTCTAGTTGAATTACTTAATTTTCAACCAACAGGTAAAGACATTGAATATTGATCCCCTTTCTTCTGTTCGATCATCCAGTTAGAATGATTAGTACATATACAACTGAAATAACAATCGATGTCAAACACTCTTGGTACAATTTGTTATATGTCGAAAAATGTCTTAAAAGAAGGGAAATCTTTTGTTTTCATTTGTTGTGAAATACTCATCTTTGAAAAGAATAAGTTGAGTTGATTTAATACTGTAACATTGTAGATTAGTATAGGGTATATCCTATTGTAATAGTGAAATTATATAAGCCTTAAAGGTTTGACCATCATTTTCATTGAACATATCTTTTAAACTTTCCTTGTAGATAGTTTATTTATTTATTTAAACACATAGGCATTAGTACAAAGAGGCGCCAGATATATATAGATATGTGCCATATTTCGACGTTCGATTTGTGTGACGTCTGGAATACTGTCCGAATGCTCAAACTGAAGCATTCAGTTTTATTAGGAGGCTACTACACTAGCCTTTGACCGATGAATAGACGTTATCCAATGTTGTGCACTCACCAATTATAGGAATGACGACGATAAAGATGAGTCACATGAGAGGATGCAATCGATCACAACGAAGTGCCCAGAAAAGGTCCTGAAAATCCTGTTGGAAGATCCAAACGCCAAAATCAGAATGGACAACAACGTTTATCAAGATATCATGGGACGATATGGAGTAGGCAAAAGGACGAGACTATAATTTATGGACGAACCAATTACGTATGATATGTCGGGTTTCGGATTTCGGCTCGAAATTCATCCGTACATTCGGATAAATTGAGTTTTGGCATTCATACGACGGACTATACTCAAAGTGGTGCATGGAGGACAACTGACAGACGCATTCCAAGTAAGGATCGAAGTCACACAAGGCTGACTACCTGTCCTTTCTCTTTCTTCTAGTGGTTGACTGGAATATGGAAACTTCGACAACTGAGAGAAAACACGGAATACAATATACAGCTCAGAACCAATTTGGCGATTTGGACTTCACAGATGATAGGACAGCATTCCTTACAGTTGAAGAATTTATGAAACTCAAAACAACTGTCAGCCAATATAAAAGTCACAATCTTCAATAAGAACGTCAAGGCAGTTAGTTCTACTGCACGAAGCTGAAACTTTGAGAACTATCACGACCATCACTAAAAATGTACAAATATTTATAAACAATTGTCTACGTAAGATACTGAATATCCGTTGACTGGATAACGTCAGAGAACAAACCAGCCTTCAGCTGAAGAGAAAACTAGAAAAAGAGTCTAGAAGCGGATAAGTCATACCTTGTGGAAACCATCAAACTGCATCACCAGGCAAGTCGTAAATTTGAATCCTGAGGGAAAAGGAAAAGTGAAAGGCCAAATAACACATTGACTCGGGACTTGGAAGCAGACATTAACAGGATGGATAACAACTGGAAATCATTGTCCGGAACAGCTTTAGATGTAGAAATCTGATGAACAGCCTATGCTTCTCTGCGAGGAGTAACAGGCGTGAGGAATTAAGTAATCCCCACCTCAAGAAGGCAGTGAGTAGGACTTCCCTTCTCCGTTGCTGTATACGCTTGGCTAAGTAAGAACATTTCGTGAGTGAGAGTGGACTCTCCCCGCCTTCTGCTTTACTAGGGCCTTTTTTGGAAGAAATTTTATATCTAAATTGTGCCCGGTCAATGTAATTAGTTTAAATAATATCAATCTCTATCAGTCGATTATAAGACAACTAAATACTTATAGAATGATAAATATATCACAGTGATTTTCTCTGCTGTTTTTCTGTGCTCTCTATTTTTGTTTTGTTTCTAGTTGTAAACAACTGAAATTACTGTATAATGACGTTGAAGATAATTCTAGTCCTTCTATTAAGAATTCATGGTTTCTATTTCCTGTTTCACATTGTTGTGGTCAAATATCCTGAAACACTGAACGAATTACGTCATTTTAAGACAATTTAACCTCATATCTCTAATCTTCATTAGTGAAATTGCCTTCTGTATCAACTTAATTATACCTGTATCAGTTAATACCATGTGTAATGAAATGAAACAAATGATTACTTACAATTTTATTCATTGATAAATTTAAACAGGAAAAATAAAATGGTAATGTAGTGTGTGTTACTTATGTTGACATAAGTAGTATATAACTCTAGTCAGGAATAGAAAGTCTGGTAATAGAATGTTGAGAATATCAAGGAGTGAAGAACGGGAATAGAAAGCAATTGGTATAGAAATGCAGGAATAATGAAGTCTGAGACAATTAATGAATATTTTGTCAATGACATAGTAAAGTATGATTTTTCTATTTTATCAAATAAATTTGTAATTTTGTGCGAAATATAATTAGTTGTCCTTACCTGTATTGTTCTTCACTACAGTAACATTTTATTTCAAATCTTCTTATCAAGGACAAACAATTTAACATTTCAAGGAATCAATAAGAGTTTAATATACTTCATTTTAATGAAATTAAAATGGAATGGAAAATGATAAAAATATGAATAGAATAGAAAATATGTTTTTTTAGATTGATGTATAAATCATCAAACTACATCACAAGACAAGTCTTAACTTGGAATCCTGAAGGGAAACGGAAAAGATAAAGCACAAAGAACACATTACGTCGGGAAATAGAAGCGAATATGAAAAGGATGAACAACAACTGGAAAGGATTTCCCAGGACCGAGTTGGATGAAGAGTGCTGGTGTACGACCTATGCTCCTTCACGAGAGGTAACAGGCCCTAAGTAAGTATTTTTATTATTATTTTAA